GAGACTTGTCATTCAGAATGTCACTTTTATATGCCATTTTCCTGTTTTCCTTTCTAATATTTACATTATTTCATGAAATTAATATATAGTTGCTTATTAAAAGCTATATGAAAATATAGCTATCACTGAGAAAGGACATCTGTCTTTCAGATTAACAAAGGCTAAAGCTATAGCCTGTGGGAATTTAGAGAAAATTTACTCAGAAGTACAACTTTCTAATTCCCAAAGCTCTTAGCAAATTTTTAGCTAGAATCAATTCCAGCAATTAGAGTCTAAATTCAGTGTAGCAGAATACACCCAAAGTATATAATTCATCACAGTATAGTCTCTCTCAATGCCTAAATTTTACTTTTTGCAATCCTTGCCAATTTGTTACACAAACCATTCATTTGTGAAGCTCTTAAATGAAGACCAGGGCAATACAGTAACATAATGAATTCTACCATGACCTAGCAGTATACCATAAAAAAAGCAACTTCAAAAGAGAAAACCACTTTCTGCTTTGCTTAAAATGCACAGATGCATATTAAGCCTATGATGAATATGTTTAGCAGTAGTGCTCAGATTTATAAGAGAAAAGAAATGGCTTTCAGTGGTAAACACTTACATGATTGTATGACTGTGCTTGTCTGTGACATCCAACACAGCTTAGTAAAGGGGCTCTTCTATCTTCTCTACCATAGGCAAACATTTCCTGCTTAATTCTCTCTTAAAATTAATAAACTACAAGTCTACACATCACCATGTCCAAAAAATGTCTCCATTTTGTTTGGTTTTCTCCTGTTTTTCTTTTTAATGGTAAATAAACATCCCAATATACAAAGATAATTGTTAAAATTCTTTAAAATAATCTTAATTTTGTCACTGAACCACAGAACCCTTAGAATTTCTTTGCACAATCACCATTAAAAGAACAGGAAACTCTCAACTGTTCAGAAAGTTTTCACTGTGTGTGAATATTCAGGGAATTCTCCCCTAGCAGTGCTTCTGGTCATGCCTGCACTACTCAGGGAACTGAGAAGTGCACCTGTTAATACAGAAGTCAACCCAAGTACCGGGCAAGAAGTTCAAAGCTCCAGATGATGCTGATGATGTCTGAGGCTCTTCTATGAATTGTATGCCAATGGAGAGATCACAGGAGTACATATATACCAAACACAATGGCCTCTGTTGGACTCAAAGTAATTTAAGGCAAAACTGATCTTCACAGACAATGCTGACATAAAGTGCAGGGCTCATCAGAAAAGTGGCTCTATTAATGTTTTCATAGCTTAGTCTTGCTTTCTTAGAGACTTTAAAAGTAAATTTGAGCATTTCTGATGAGTTACACAGCAGAAGCAACAAAAGTCTCTGAGTCTTCCCTTTAATTGTCTTACATGTAATAAAACCCAACCAAACAAAAAACTTCCACCACATATTTGGATAATACTGCTCCACGCAGCATTTACAGGACACTAGACAGTAGGCTTCTCTCTGCCTACATCGCCCTACCACAGGGCAGGAAGAAACAAGCACCCTGTTAGCAGTCAGATACACAGCTACGGCTCCTGAAGCACACAGGCACCACAAGTGAGACGGGGTGACTCTTGAGTGACTTCTCTGCTATGAACAGCACATACTGCACACATTATAAACTTTAAAAATCTTTGCTTCCCTGAAAGATCAGGTTTTTATTTTTTTAGTGACTGTTCTAAAAAGCCTGCCACAAGAACATAACACAGCATAGGCAGTGAAATCAAGGTGAGCAATGTTTCCTTTCAATGTCAATGCTCCCCCAACAAACACTATCCTCCTCAAATGGAAGAAGCTATTTATTTCTAGTTCTATTCTGTCTGTCCTCTGGGTATTTCTGCATGGGCCTCGGATGATCATCAGACTGATGATTTCAGCCAATCAGAAGTTAACTTTTAAAAGTATCAAGAACAGCTGGGTGGTGGTAGCACACACCTTTAATTCCAGCACTTGGGAGGCAGAGGCAGGCGGGTCTCTCTGAGTTCAAGCCCAGCCTGGTCTACAGAGTGAGTTCCGGGACAGCTAGGGCTGTAACACAAAGAAACCTTATCTCAAAAAACCAAAAATAGAAAAAATAAACACAAGAAATCAAGAATAACAGATCTTTATATTTCCCAAGTGAGTTTTATACAAAGGCATTAGTCATTAAAAATCAAGGCAGTAAAATGTTAACCACTTATGTGGTAAACAAAATGAATGCACCATATTATAGTAGTTTTTTTTCAATTTGGCACAAAGAGATTTAGAGAATCTGTTACAGTATTAGAGTCCAATGAAACACAGGTTACATATTTTAAAACATGGTTATCTAGGTCCATGTGACCAGTATTACTATGGAAAGGTTTCTTCTGGTGCACATCTATGAACATCTCTCTTCCTAAATTAGATGTTTCTCAAGAACAGAAAACCACAGTTTGGTTGTTGCTGTTTTGGCTTTTAGTTCATTACTATACTGCCATTTGTCATAAAAATCACTTGACCCACAGCATTTCAATGACATGCAGAGTCATTTCCAAAAGTTCTCAAGATTCTTTGAGAACAAAAGAAGCAATTATCTATTCTCACAACAAAGCAATTATAACTAACAGTAGCTTGAATACTGGAATCAATTTTCTTTCGAGTTAGACTATTTAATTTGACTTTTAACTATGCTCTTTTCTAAGTAATCGTTAAAAAAATTCTAGGGAAGGAAAGGAGAGAGCGTCATGTCAGGTGACCTTGTGATGAGACTCCTTAACATACTGTGCTCATTCAGTAATACTGGGGGTATAAGGACAAGACCTACAAAGAAATTTAGAAACAAAAGAATTAGTCTATATGTTGACAGCAAAACATAATCCAGTACAGACCTAATAATTAAGCTGCATCAAACTTCAACAACAGAAGGAAAAAATAAATGTATTCATTTTAATATAAAAATGATAATTAAAAAGCAGAAACCACAGTGAAGAGTGGCAGTTCATTAAGAGCTATTAGCTGCTCCTATCATCTCAAAATGCATTATTTGAGTGATAGCAAAATTTGAGAACATTAAGAATAATTAAGACAATTTTTTCTATCTTCTTAGTCATAAGTAAATAATTAATGATACTCTTAAAAACTGTTCACTTTACAAAAAATAAACAAAATATTTTAAAATTCTATTCTTTAAAAAAAAACTTTGAAAAGTAACAGCTTTTCCAATACTGATGTTAAGTTGGCTATCACATGGGCCGTACTTCTTTGGCCATCCACCACCACAGGTAAGACTTCAGCATTCTGGTTAAGTGGCTTGGCATTTTTTTAAACTGAAATATGTCCATTTTACAACAATAAATATGATGAAATGAAGTCTATGAAAAGCAAAAAAAATCACTTTTAAAGTAAAAATAATCATTTCATGAGATACAAAAGTAAACATTTATAAAACAGAAATGTGGCAAAAAACATTGCCTGTTTTGACTAATTATCAAATAAAAATGCAGTTACATTTTTTTCTTTAAGGTTACCAGTATAAAATATCTTTAAAGAACATGATGTAAAATCACAGGGCAGTTTAAAGATACAGCATTAGCATAAGCCAACAAGACTAAGCTTTGATATGGAAACCATTGTACAGAATGGGCTTAAGGCTAGACTTTCCATTTGTCTGAAGGAAGATCTTCCTATGTGTATTTCATGGCATTCAGGCCTATAATTTCCCTCTCCTCCACACTTCCCAAATGTTTGCACCACTTTGTTTCTTGCCCACAGCTTCACTCAAATTTCTATCATATGTAACTTTTATAAAGAAAGATATATAATCAGAGATCAAAATCTGTTGGCAACAGTCTCCCAGAATCCTCTCCAAGGTTAAGATAGTCTGGAAAGACAAGGCAAATGGAAGATAGGCAGTCCCTAAATTATTTCTCTCACGGCAAACTATTTTTTTTCTTTCCTAAATAAGCAGCATATTGAAATGACAAAAAAAATAATAACAAACAAAAAAAAACTCATACATTGAAAATAACAGCAAGTCCAGCTGGGAGACTGTCAATCAGATACAGACATAGCTTGGCTGCTATTTATATTAACTAAGTGGTATGGGCAAATAAATACTTCTATAAATAAGCAGCCTGACAAAGACTGAAGTTTTACGGGGAGTTTAAAGGTCCCGTGGAAAGGAATACAATGGCCATCAACATAGAAGAACTATACACCTGGACAAAGACTCACTTCATCAAATTCAATTTCCTGTTGACTGAGCCCAATATTACAGGTGCTTAAGACATCACTGAGAGATTGCCAACACAAACTGTTACATCCTAGGAGCAAGACGCTTGCTGCACACAGCAAATAAGACTGACGGCGTCAACTCTTAGGAAAATGTCCTCTTTTCTTTGGCTCCACAATTAAATTGGAAAATCAAAGCTATGAAAGGCTATTTTTTTCTTTAATTTTCAGTTGACTTTTTATGAACCTGAGTGAAAGGATTGAACAATTAAGGTTTTACAAATAAATATTAGCACATGATGTACTGAGGGCCTCAGAAAGACTTGCCATGGAGGAAGCAGCAGCACAATGCTGAAGGATGACATCCTAAGCAACCTGCTAACAGGTCCTGTGGCTCTCTACAGCCTCCACTGACCCATGTGTTCAGAATACCAGACCTCCACTGCCTGGCCATTTCCCCCATATCTTATTGTTGTCATTTTACTTTTTCTAAAGAGGATAAAAACCAAAGACTATATCCTTCAAAACATCATACTATCAACAACAAAGTGGCTATTTCATATGCTTTACTATACTTTCTTGAATCACAACGCTATGACTTACTTGGTAATGCATTTCTGCACACTTCTAATTGCTAAATAAACCTTAGTCCCCAAATGTAGATATCCTATACCGAGCAAGTGTCATTTTGTGCAGTTCTAATTAATTCCCAGGAAACAGATTCCCAGAAGAGGTGGCCAACATTCAGAAGCTGTATTTCCTTACACTGCCCAAGTGACCAGAATAACCAAAACACGTGAAGAGAACTGAAATTGTTTATAGTTAGAAAACACTTGAGGGTAACTCCAGGAATGGCACACAGAAGGACAGCCAATGTGGAATGCATTCGGTATTGTTCAGTTAATATGTGCTACAGCAAGTCCATTTTCAAGGCAGATTCCATTTTTTGTTTGTTTTCTTTTACTGCTTATTATGGAAACCTGGGGAAAGAAGAAGAAGGAAAGACAATTAAAATGCAGGTAATGAGAACTTGAATCAGGAAAAAATATAAAGTTATCTTTGTAGATTAACTCTGTTATGGATTTTTCACTTTTTGATGGTGTAAAAGTGCAAAGTAAATACTCGAGAGTGAAAGTAAAACTCCAACTCTGAAAGCTTCCTAACTCATTGCAATGTAAAAACACTGGCTTTGGTTAATCTTGCTGTGCAATATTTTTCTCATTTGAAAGTTCTCTATAAAGTTTTAATTTAAGAAAAAGATGCAAGTTTAAAAATTCACTGTCTCCCTACCCCAGATTCATCTTCATTTATATGCACTCCAAGTGGTTCCTCTTTGCTTTGTTCTTTTTAAAGCATTTGTTTATAAAATCTCATGTACAGAATCAATTTGTCATTTTATACTTTGTAGCAAATGTATGTGGAGAACAGACAGACACACTCTGCCCCCAAATGATTCAGCTTTGAGAAAGAACAAACACACAAGGTACTTCCACTATATCAGAGATGCTGGAAATTTCAGTAAATGAAAAAGAATGATAAAAACTTCACCTAAGAAACCTTCTAAGAAGTTCCATCAAATATGAAGACCTAACATTTATAACTTGTTCTGCAGACTTCTCTCACTTGCTCCCCCACCCCGCAAAGTCTCACTATGTAGTTCATATTTGCCTGGCGTTCCCAATCTTAATACCTCTGCTTCTGGAGTGCTTGAACTACAGAAATATAGCACCACACACAGCCTTCTTTCATAACTGACAATTCTGGACTATATATTTTGTTACCAATCTTTTGAAGATAGGGAAGTTAAAAAAGGACTCTTTCACTGAGTAACTTTGATGAATGTGTGTATCTTCATGTATATATATGCTGGGAAAACAAATGCATCCAACTATGCTTCCATTGTAAAACTATTAATTTACTATGGTTCTCCATTTCCTTCCTCATCTTCTTTACTGCAAATTTCATCTGTGAGAAGCTATGTGGCATGTATATGCAAACACTGTAAACCTAATTCCTACTGTTAGAGATGACTGAACATCATCAACATGCTTGATTCAAAACTGTTTTAGGTTTTAGAACTTTTCTCTGAAACATATGCACAGACTATCCCTAATTTCTCACTTTTAATTGATATGACTACAGATTGGCAGTTGAGGCACCCCAAATCTGAAAAGTTTACATTTGAAATGCTCCAAAACTCTGAAACTGTTTGAAGAATGTTTTAGTTTTTAAAACCTTCAGCCTTCAGATTTCTGTTGTTTAAACTGTGCAGATTAAGCATTCCAAAGAATCTAAATGCACTGCAATTCTCTCCAATAATGTGACAAAAAAAGCACTGACTTGCACGCGGAAGACACAGATAACCCTGCACTTTCACGTAAAGCGAGCACTTTAGCTTGCCGGTGTTTAGTAACTGACAAGAGGAGAATGTCATGCTTTCCCCCTGCCGTAACTAGAAGACTGCATGTCATCTTCTATTACAGGAACTCAGCTTGATCTCACAGATGCTCCGTACCTCTATGTGAGGGCTCCGCCTTTGAGAAATGACGGGTGGCACTGTGCTGGTTTGTAAGATGCGTGTGGTCCAGATCCACAGGGTCCATCACTGTAGGCGGTGGTGGTCTGCAGGGAGTCAGAATTTAAAAGCTTTTAAGTGATGCTTACCACAGTTCCATCTTTCCCTAAGGAACACGGCAGAAGGTTTTTACTGTGTGTCAGAATTCTTAGTTTAGTTCCTGGACAGTTACATGTCCTTGAATAAATTATTTTTTATCTTACTGTTCTTGATGCCTATAATTAACTAACCATATTTTCCCAGTATCTAATATGTGTGAGGCACTGAGCTGATGGAAGCAAACGTGAATGAAGTATGGCCTGCCAATCGTTTACTTCATGTTTCCAGATTCTATCCAGAAAAAAGAAGTGAATAAATTAATATAGCTAAATAAAGAAGAAAAGAAGGAGTTAGAAAGGGCAGCAGCAACCAAGAATCGGAGACCATTTATAAGCAACAGTGGTTCTTTATCCACTAGGTGGCAAAATTTATCTTAAAAACATGGTACTTCTGCACATCTCGTTTACAAGGTTTTATATCAAAGAGAAACAAAATGTCAAAAGGAAATTTTTAAATTCTAAATTATTAATTTAATTAAAATAGAATTTTGTAAATATTTGACATTAATGAAAATGAAAAGAACCAGTTCAATTTTGTTAATTTTCTAAAGGTATATGTACACACACACACACCTAATTATAGGATCTTTTGCATAATCATAAGGTATAAGTATGTTGAAGTTTTAAAACTTGTAGTTTGGTACAAAATTAACCATGCAATCAATCTAAAAAGTAAAACAATCATGTATGAATTTTTCCACTTATCCCTAGAAGAAATCACTTCCTGTGTACTGGGAAAGGTCAAAAAATGACAACTTGTATGTATAGGGAGAATTCCACATCCTCAATGTGGAAACTAAAACGTAAGTATATATGTGAGCATGGTCAGGTGAGGTGAGTGGCTGACCCAAGTGTAAACACTTGTTTAGCACCAACAACATAGTTGTTAACAGGATCAGATTCCAGAAGCAGTGCTCCAACACAGAGCTACCTACATATGTGTATCATCAGGAATAGCAGTGCCTGGACATATGACATGTGTGTCTGAATATTTTGAAATGGAAGAGGCCAATCAACATCTGTGTTCCGTGCAACCCCAAACCAAACAGAACAGCACAGAGTGAGCACCAAGGGCCAGCTAGAACGATCTTTTCATCCTTGTATCGCAAACATTCAAATATCAGTTGAAAAATACATTCTTAATTTTATGTTTTAATGTTTTTGTCCCTGCTATATACATAAAACAACGCACAGTGAGAATGGCAATACTTTCATTCAGAATCATGTGTCTACAATACTGACTCTGTCGTGTTTGTTTTCTCAATGTTGACTGATATTCCCAACACCTTAAAAGGTGACATGTTAGGAAGAACTGAGACAGAACAAGAGATTTCAGGATTTAGCTTTAGAAAGTGGCTAAGTTTAGAGCCAAGACCAAGAAAAGGGCATTGTTTATCACTGTAGCTAAGAGGTCTCCTTAGATTTTCATAAACCTCTCCAGCACTGGACATCCATAGAGACAAGTAACTCACTCCACCAAGACACCCTCAGTTCTATGCAGAGTTGATATGCTGCTCTGCTCAGCTGTCTTCAATTATATTTATAATTTAAATAGAATTACATCACTTTTTCCTTCCCTTTCATTCCTCCAGTTCCTGACATATCCGTCTTCATTCTCAAGTTGATAGTCACTTTTTCTTTGTTTATATTTGTTACATATGTAACACAAGGATACATGTATGCACACACACATACATGCAAACACATACACACATATACAATATAGTCTGCTGAGTCCATTTGTGTGCATATGGTTTCAAGCTACCCACTTTGCACTGGACAACCAACAGAGGGCTCATCCCTAGGAGAGGCTAATTCTTCTCTCAGCAGTCAATAGTTGCCTGTGATTCTTTGTTTAGGATTGGAACCCAGCAAAAGATGCCCACTTGACATTACATGTTCATTGATATTGCTATTGTTTAGATCTTGTTCATGCAGCCATTAGGGGAGACCATTTCATAGCAGAATTCCTAGGGCAGTACAAGGGCTACATCTAGACTTACTGTTTCCTACACAACTATTATATTGCAATGAAGAAGATTGTGTTAACGTTGGTGATACTTATGGTTAAAGATGGAGAAAGAGTTTATGCTGTGGTTCTTATGTTACAATTACCTACTTTCTCCTCTTTTCATAAAATTATATTTTTAATTAGTATGATTGCTAAATGTTCTTCATCCTCTGGCTGCCTGTACCTGAGTCGGGCTAAGTAGCTCATTAGGTTTGTCACACTCAGTGTTTTTACCCATATCACTTAACAAAGTCAGCACAGTGATCTGAGTAATTGCCATGAGACTATAAACTTTGTAACAGCAAAAAAATCTTCACTCTTAGAGACTGGACTTATCTTAGGTCTAAGTATTCGGGTAATCAAACCAAGATTCAGTGTAGAGAAATATAATTGATATTCATATAAATTTGATAGAAAGAAAAAGAGACTTGCAAGAGATTTAGACTTTTCTATGGTAAAAACTAAAATCGCAACTAGCATTTTCAGTATAAAATCCTGGAGCTGAAACTTTATTTTGTTTTTTTCTTTCCTTAGACAAGTTTTCTTCCCAAGTAGTTTAGAAACAATCTCCTTCTGCCTCAGCCTCCCTGGGATCTAAGTGCGCACAGCACGCCCTCTGAAGTCTCTGGCTTGGAATTAATCTACACTATTGACTGATCCTTAATTCCCACAAGAAAGGAGAAAAAAAAAAACTTGGAAAAACAAAAGAAATGGGAACATTGACAGAAGATGCTCCAAGCTCCTCATGAGAATCTGTTGTTTGTTTTGTTGCTGCTGTTGTTTCTGACTGGACCACTGCTACGCTGAAGTATTAAGAATGATCATGGAAACCCATGTTCTCCTAAACTTTATACTAACTGTCTATGCAAATAGTTACCTACCCAACATTTCCATCATGATTAAAAATGAAAGAGGAAACAGAAGCTATGCAAAATGCATGTACTCACAAATCTGTTAAGCATATGAGGCTTTATATGTTAAAATAATGTTTTATAAAATCCTTATTCGGTTTTACATATACATAACATTTTATCAAATAATATTTAGAGTGAGTGTTTCTTTCACTACAAAGGAGATATAAGAATCTATGTTTGTGCAAATCCACAATAATTCTTAACAGTCACTTTTAAAAATCATTTGGTTGTTCACTTTCAATATACCTAGGAGTCTTCAGAGGTCCTATTTATATTCTACAAACTTGTTTTTAATTCTAATGAACCTTTAAAAACAGCCACCCCAGCATGCCCTATTTTATCTGCCATCAAAGATATTAATGTTCAAAAGAGGCAAAGGACTTTGAAGGCTGAACAAAAGTACGCCTAAAAATGATCTGAACTCATGTGACTAAACAAAAACCAGATATTTACCTCCTGAGAACAGACTGCCTCTTCCTTTGCTTGGAAACTGTAGGAATGTACAGAACTACAAATGTAAACATCCTGTATGTGCTTAGCAAAAGCTAAAGAGCAACAGACTTTACACAGATTATGTTACTACTATTCCCAGAGCAATATAAATTCATATTGGTTTCTGAAATGTATTTATATTATGAAAACACATAAGCTTAAAGTTACATTTTAAAAATAATTTTACCTATATATATATACAATATATAATATATATTTTAAAAATAGAAATATACAGTATAATTTATATTTTATATATGTCGTGTATACATGTGTTCAAATTTGTGTTGCTGTTTATGTGTGTGCTGAGGCACATTCACATGTGTGCAGGATTAAAAGTCAAGGTATTAATTCAGGGTATTTAAAATTTTACATGTGTATTTGCTTCCTTTCCTCTTTTTTTTATTTTTCTTCGAGACCTGGTTTCTTGTACCCTGGTTTGAACACTGAACACGCTGTATATACAACACTAACCATGGCTTTCTGATTTTCTTTCATTTCCCTTAAGCTAGGATCAACACACAAGCACCACCATGTCCAGTGTAGAGAGTGCTCGGACCAAACCCAGGGTTTCTCTCACACTAGGCAACACTTCTACAAACCAAGCTATATCCCCAGCCCCTACTTGTTTATCTAAACTAATTTTAATGCATGTGTAAAAATATAAAAATAGAACATATTTACAAGGTAACATAATTCAATATACATAAATCTTTTCTAACATTCAAATCTGATTAAACATAACTATCTCCTCTTATATTATTTATTTTATTGCTTTTATTTTGTGCATATGGGTGTTTTTGCTTTCATACATGTCTGTGAAACACATGCAGGAACTGCTTTTGGAGGCCAAGAGTATTGGATCCCATGGTTGTAAGTTGCCATGTGGGTATTGGGGATCAAACCCAGGTCCTCTGAGAAGCCAGTGATCTTTACCACTGAGCCATTGCTCCAGCCCCATAACTTCCTTTTTAAAAGGTGTATTATTTTCATCTGTGTGTATGAGTGTTTGCCTACATGTATGATGTACACCACTTGCATACTCATTGCCAACATATGCCAGAACAGGGCATCAGGTCCCCAGGAACTGAAATTACAGATGGTAGTGAGCCGCCATGCGGTGGTTAGGAACTGAAGCCAGGAGCTCTCTGACCCTATGCATTCTTTATAGTGAAATTTTTTCTATATTTTCATCTAGGGACTTGAAATATACAAATCACAACTGTCATTTATAGCTTCGCTCCTGCTAAATACCAACGCTTCTTGTCCCTATTTAACTATAGATTAATTTCCGTGAATCAAACCTCTTTTACTATTCTTCCATTTTCTCCATGCCGTCCTTCCATATTTAATGTTTCTCCTCATATTTTAATGAAAAGGCAATATAAACTAATAAGGAAAAAAGAATTTGCTTCTCCAGATAGCATCTCCTTAATGTTGTGACTGTGTGAGTCAAGAACACTGAGCACAGTCAGCTACTTTCATAGTGAGACTCAGTCTGCATCATGACAATTAAGTACACACAAATACACACAGAGATAACACATTACATGAACACATACAAATGCTTTTATCTAGTGAGCTATCTTCTCAGCCCCAACCAAAGCTTAAAATCTCAGATTTTAACTTAGAAATTGGTTAATCTCATCTTTCTCTAGCTGAGGGTACAAGACTTTAAATGCCAATAAATAATCCAAATAAAAAACAAAAAAGAAGTCTCCTTCTACCCCAGGGTTACTATAAATACTGCCTACATGATTTATGCATTCCAATGTAAGATTCTGAACATAGTTTGAGAATAACCCTGTGACACTTGAAACTACCTCCCTGTTGTAGAGTTTTGGCTCTCTGTTAGAAAGAACAGTTGTCTTCTCAGACAATTAATGTGTGTTCATCACTCCAAAGCTAACTCTCTCTTGCTCCTTTCCAGGGGCCATCTTACCTTGACGGCCTGTCAGTCTTTGAACGGTATGCTTCTTCACTCTCTTTTGATTTTGAGTGTGCTGACTTTGCTTTTGACTGTGGGCAGAAAAAGACCAAAGAACAGTAAAGGTGAACTTCAGAAAATATCTATTCTCCAGAAAGCTTTTCTTGAGGAATTTCAGGCTACATTTAGCTGAGTAACATAAAAATATTTTATATTTAGTCATTCAAGTCAAAAATTGACAAGACACAATGGTCTGGTAGTTTTCATGGGTGTGTGTGTGTCTGTGTGCGCATGTGCGCGTACACAGACACATGCACATGCACACAGTCCTCAGAGGCATGTGTAGATAAGTAGGTGATCAGATTGAGTGGGTCAAACACTGCACACTCATAAACCACACACACACACTCGCAATCCACACAGGCATGTGTAGATGAGTGGATCACACACTGCACATCCACACACCACACACTCACACTTGCATGCACGTATGCATGAACACATGCACACATACATGTGTTTGCCGCACTCATTGTGATTCTCACAGGCACGCACAGCTGATTAGATCCAGAAGACACAGGTGATGGAATCTGGATCTGAGATCTTAAGCTCTTCTCTATATATCTGACTCATGTCCAATCAGCCAATTAAAGCATATTTCAAGTTCAAATTTCTAAGAAAGGATTTGTACCAGTACCAGTTACAGAATATGGAAACTGCAAAAGGCAGGATGCTAATAGTTAGCAACTAAACAGAGAAAAGTAGGCTAAGTGATATTATCAGTACAGGTTCAAGGTTATTTTCCCTCATAATAATTACAGACAGAAGTGCTCGCTTCGACAGCACATATACTAAAATTGGAACGATACAGAGAAGATTAGCATGGCCCCTGAGCAAGAATAACATGCAAATTCATGAAGCGTTCCATATTTTTCTTTGTCCTACTGAGCCTGCAACCAGCAAGGGAACTCTTTACTCTGCGAGGTTCCTGGCCAAGAAGTGGCTCGGATCCTGTACCAGAAGATCTGTACTTCCGGAAGGCATTTGAAGGAAGAGATGGGCACACACTAATACAAGAATTCCTCCAACAATCTGAAAAACAAAATGATAACACCAGAATCCAGCGATCATACAACAGGAAGACTTGAACATCCTAATCCATAAGACATAGAAGAAACAGACTTTAAACATAACATTGCGAAAGTGATAGAGACCCTTAAACAGGAAGTGAAAAACTCCCTTAAAGAAATGGATGAGAAGAATAACGAAAGTATGAAGAAATGAATAAGTCCCTCAATGATACACTAGGAAACCAAGAAAAAGCAATCAAACAGGTAATGGAAATAGTTCAAGACTTGAAAACTGAAATGGAGGTAATGAAGAAAACACAAACTGAGGGACAGCTGGATATGGAAAATCTGGATAAACGAACAGGGACTACAGAGACAAGTATAACTAACAGAATACAAGAGATAGAAGAAACAATCTCAGATGCTGAAGATACTATAGAAGAAATAAACTCATTGATCAAAGAAAACAGTAAATCCAACAAATTCTTAACATAAAACATCCACAAAATCTGGAACACCAGGAAAAGACCAAACCTACGGATAATAGGGGCAGAAGAAGGAGAAGAATTACAGCTCAAAGGCCCAGAAAATATATTCAACAAAATTATAGAAGAAAACTCTACCAACCTAAAGAAGGATATTCCTATGAAGGTACAAGAAGCATACAGAACACCAAATAGACTGGATCATAAAAACACATCTCCTCGCCATATAATAAGCAAAACACAAAGCATACTGAATAAAGAAAGAATATTAAGAGCGGCAAAGGAAAAAGGTCACATAACATATAAAGGTAAACCTATTAGAATTACACCTGACTTCTCTAAGGAAACCATGAAAGCTAGATGGTCTTGGATAGATGTGCTACAGAAACTAAGAGACCATGGATGCAAGCCCAGACTCCTATACCCAGGCAAGTTTTCTTTCACCATCAATGGAGAAAATAAGGTATTCCAGCATAAAAACAAATTTAAACAATACGTAGCCACAAACCCAGTCTTTCAGAAAGTAATAGAAGGAAAATCTCAACCTAAATAACCCAACAACAACCACAATAACTTAGACATCTAACAACCCTCCACAAGCACAACCAAAAGAGGGAAACACATAACCTCTACCACCAAAAATAATAATAATAAAAATATAATAAAATAAAAAATAACCAGAGTTAACAACCACTGGTCATTAACATCACTTAATATCAATGGTCTCAATTCACCTATAAAAAGGCACAGGTTAAGAGAATGGATGCGAAAGCAGGACTCAGCATTTTGCTGCTTACATGAAATACACCTCCACAACAAAGACAGACATTTACTCAGAGTAAAGGGTTGGGAAAAAGTATTTCGATGTAATGGACCTAAGGAACAAGCGGGTGTGGCTATACTAATATCTAACAAAATTAATTTCAAACTAAAATCAATCAGAAGAGATGGAAATGGACACTTTATACTGATAACAGGAACAATTCATCACGATGAAGTTTCAATCCTGAATATCTATGCCCCTAATATAAAAGCACCCACAAATGTAACAGAAACATTACTAGAATTCATAGCACATATCAAACCCCACACACTAATAGTAGGAGACTTCAACACTCCTCTCTCACCAATGGACAGGTCAAACAGACAGAAACTTAACAGAGAAATAAGAGAACTAATGGGGGTAATGAATCAAATGGACTTAACAGACATCTATAGAACATTCCACCCAAATAGGAAAGAATATACCTTCTTCGCAGCATCTCATGGAACCTTCTTGAAAACTGATCATATACTAGGTAACAAAGCAAACTTTCACAGATTCAAAACAATTTTCGTAACCACCTGTGTCTTATCAGATCACCATGGAATAAAGTTAGAATTTAACAAAAATTCTACCCCCAGAAAGCCAACAAACTCATGGATACTGAACAGTCAACTACTGAACCACCCATGGGTCAGGGAAGAAATAAAGAAAGAAATTAAAGTCTTCCTTGAATTCAATGAAAATGAAGGCACAACATATCCAAACCTATGGGACACTATGAAAGCAGTGCTAAAAGGAAAATTCATAGCACTAAGTGCCCACATTAAAAAAACAGAGAAAGCTCACATTAGAGACTTAACAGCACAGCTGAAAGCTCTAGAAAAAAAAAGAAACAGACTCACCCAGGAGGAGTAGAAGACTGGAAATAATCAAACTGAGAGCTGAAATCAACAAAAGAGAAACACAGAAAACAATCCAAAGAATCAATGAAACAAAGAGCTGGTTCTTTGAGAAAGTCAACAAAATTGACAAACTTTTATCCAAACTTATCAAAAGGCAGAGACAGAACATGCAAATTAACAAGATCAGAAATGAAAAGGGGAATATAACAACAGACACTGAGGAAATTCAGAGAATAATTAGGCCTTACTACAAAAGCTTATATGCCACAAAGTTGGAAAATGTAAAGGAAATGGACTTGTTTTTAGATAAGTACCATTTACCAAAATTAAATCAAGACCAGGTGAACAATTTAAATAGAGCTATAAGTCGTGAGGAAATCGAAGCTGTCATAAAAAACCTCCCAACCAAAAAAAGCCCAAGACCAGATGGTTTTAATGCAGAATTTTACCAGAAATTCCAAGAAGAGCTGACACCTATACTCCTTAAAGTGTTTCACATAAAAGAAACAGAAGAGTCATTGCCAAACTCTTTTTATGAAGCTACAATTACCCTGATACCAAAATCACACAAAGACTCAACCAAGATAGAGAATTACAGACTAATCTCGCTCATGAACATCGATGGAAAAATTCTCAATAAAATACTGGCAAACCGAATACAAGAACACATCAAAAAAATAATCCATTATGATCAAGTAGGCTTCATCCCAGAGATGCAGGGCTGGTTCAACATATGAAAATCTATCAATGTAATCCATCAAATATATAAACTGAAAGAAAAAAACCATATGATTGTTTCTTTGGATGCTGAAAAAGCATTTGACAAAATTCAACACCCCTTTATGATAAAGGTTTTGGAAAGGTTAGGGATACAAGGATCATATTTAAATATAATAAAAGCTATATACAGCAAACCAACATCTAATATCAATTTAAGTGGAGAGAAACTCAAAGCCATTCCACTAAAATCAGGAACAAGACAAGGCTGTCCACTCTCACCATATCTCTTCCAAATAGTGCTTGAAGTTCTAGCAATAGCAATAAGACAACATAAAAAGATCAAGGGGATTCAAATTGGAAAGGAAGAAGTCAAACTTTCATTATTTGCAGATGATATGATTATGTACATCAGTGACCCCAAAAACTCTTCCAAAGAACTCCTACAGCTGGTAAACACCTCTAGTGATGTGGAAGGATACAAGATCAACTCCAAAAAATCAGTTGCCCTCCTTTACACAAATAACAATGAAGCAAAAAGGGAAATCAGAGAAACATCACCTTTCACAATAGTCACAAATAGCATAAAGTATCTTGGGGTAACTCTAACCAAGGAAGTAAAAGAACTATTTGGCAAGAAGTTTTAAGTCTTTGAAGAAAGAAATTGAAGAGAATACCAGAAAATGAAAGAATCTCCCATTCTCTTGGATTGAGAGGATTAACATAGAAAATATGGCAATTCTACCAAAAGCAATCTATAGATTCAATGCAATCCCCATCAAAATGCCTAAAAATTCTTCACAGACCTTGAGAGAACAATAATCAATTTTATATGGACAAACCAAAAACCCGGGATAGCCAAAACAATCCTATATAAAATAAAGGAACCTCTGGAGGCATTACCATCCCTGACTTCAAACTCTATTACAGAGCTATAGTAATGGAAACAGCTTGGTATTGGCATAAAAACAGATATGTTGACCAATGGAATCAAATTGAAGACCCAGATATTAACCCCCAAACCCATGAACACCTGATTTTTGACAAGGGAACTAAAAGTATATAATGGAGGAAAGAAAGCATCTTCAACAAATGGTGCTGGCATAACTGGATGTCAACCTGTAGAAGAATGAAAATAGATCCGTATTCATCACCATGCACAAAATTCAAGTCCAAATGGATTAAAGACTTCAATATAAATCTAACCACACTGAACCTGACAGAAGAGAAAGTGGGAAGTGGACTGCAACACTTGAGAACAGGAGACCACTTCCTACGTATAACCCCAGAAGCACAGACAACAAGAGCAACAGTGAATAAATGGGAACTCCTGAAACTGAGAAGCTTCTGTAAAGCAAGAGACACTGTCATTAAGACAAAAAGGCAACCTACTGAATGGGAGATCTTCACCAACCCCGCATCAGACAAAGGTCTGATCTCCAAAATATACAAAGAACTCAAGAAACTGGACATGGAAATTCTAATTAACCCAATTAAAAAATGGGGTACTGACTGAAAAGAGAATTCTCAGCAGACAAAGTTTAAATGGCCAAAAGACACTTAAGGTCATGTTCAACCTCCTTGGCCATTAGAGAAATGCAAATCAAAACAACATTGAGATACCATCTTACACCTGTCAGAATGGCTAAAATCAAAAGCACCAACGATAGCCTATGCTGGAGAGGATGTGGAGTGAGGGGAACACTCATCCATTGCTGGTGGGAATGCAAACTTGTGCAACCACTTTGGAAATCAGTGTGGCGGTTTCTCAGGAAATTGGGAATCAATCTACCTCAGGACCCAGCAATACCACTCTTGGGAATATACCCAAGAGATGCCCAATCATACTACAAAAGCATTTATTCAACTATGTTCATAACAGCATTATTTGTAATCGCCAGATCCTGGAAACAACCTAGATGCCCCCCAATGGAAGAATGGATAAAGTGTGGGATATATTCGCATTAGAGTACTACTCAGCGGTAAAAAATAATGACATTTTGAATTTTGCATGCAAATGGATGGAAATAGAAAACACTATCCTGAGTGAGATAACCCAGACCCAAAAAGATGAATATGGTATGTGCTCACTCACTAGTGAATTCTAGCCATAAACAAAGGACATTAAACCTTGAGAAGTCAAATAACAAGGTGAACCCAAAGAAAAACATATAGATCCTTTTGGAAATTGGAAGCAAAGAGATTGTCAGAAAAAAGTTGTGAGCATGGGGATGGGGGTAGGGGTGTGAATGGGCTTGGGGGAAGGGGAGAGGGGAAGAAAGAAGGGAGAAGGGAAAGACTGGAGAGAGCTTGGGGGAGTGGGAGGGTGGAGATGGAGGAAGGGCGGATCTAGGAGCAGGGAAGAAGTTATCTACATTAAGGGAGTCATTTTTGGGTTGGCAAGAGATTTGGTTCTAGAGGGGATCCCAGGTGTAAATGGCGATGTCCCCAGCTAGGTCCTTGGTCAGCAGAGTAGAGGGTGCCTGAATTGGCCTTGCCCCACTAACACACTGATGATTATCTCGAATATCACCAGAGAATCTTCGTCTGGCAATGAATGGAGATAGAGACACTGTCCCTCATCAAAGCAACAGACTGAGCTCCCAAGGTCCAGTTGAAGAGCAGAAGGAGGGAGAAGATGAGCAAGGAAGTCTGGACCGCGAGGGTTTGGTTCACCCACTGAGACAGTGTGCCTGTTCTAATGGGAGCTCCCCAAATCCAGCTGGAGCAGGACTGAAACAGCATGCAACCAAACCAGACTCTCTGGATGTGGCTGAAATGGGGGGCTGATTGAGAAGCCACTGATAAAGAACCTAAATCTAGCGATGGATGGAGGTAGAGGCAGAGACCCACATTGGAGCACTGGACTGAGCTCCCAAGGCCCAGATGAAGAGCAGAAGGAGGGAGAACATAAGCAAGGAAGTCAGGACCGTGAGGGGTTCGCCCACCCACGGAGACGGTGGGACTGATCTAGTGAGAGCTCACCAAGGCCAGCAGGACTGGGTCTGAACGAGCATGTGACAAAATCGAACTCTCTGAAAGTGGCTGACAATGAGGGCGGACTGAGAAGCCAATGATAATGACACCAGATTTGTATTCTACGGTATGTACTGGCTTTTTGGCAGCCTAGTCTTTTTGGATGCACACCTTCCTAGACCTGGATGGAGGGGGGGACCTTGGACTTTCCACAGGGCAGGGAGCCCTGACTTCTCTTAGGACTAGAGAGTGAGGGGAAAGGTGAGTGGGAGAGAAATGGGAGAAGGTGGAAATTTTTAATAAATAAATAATAATAATTACAGAAACTATGAGATAGGCCCAGAGACCTAGAAGAGGAAATCAGAAAACAGTGCAGAGATTGGGTATGTCCTGAGTACAGACTCAAGGCTGCATGTTCCCAGGCTAGTACTAATTCTGCTTCCCAGAGCCTTACTTCACTAACTCAACTGTCTGCTTGCTCTTGTACACTGTATGTTTTGCACTATATGTAGTCTGTGATTTGTCTCACTCTAGAGACCCTCTGGTATCCGCCCCTTCAGCATACCCTACCATCAGCACCCACACAACTCTCTTCCTCTCACTGTCAAGGAAGGATACCTTTGTGTTTCCACACTGGTCCCAGTGGTACCTTGCACACGAATACTGATTGTTAAATTGAACTTGCAATACAATTAATTCACAGTAGAATGATGATACACAACTACTTCTGATTAAGGAGGTAAAGAAAGGTAATAGTCCCAGGTCCTGCTAAACTGTTCTTGTCCTGAGATACAAGCAATGGTTGCTAGGAACATGCATTTACTTTCCAGTCCTTCATCTACCAAGCACAAACAGAAAGCTCTGTGAAAGGGCAGAGGTCCGGTGCAGGCACCTGGGAAAGCGGGGAAATGTAGCTCACTGTGGCAGTTTGTAAAGCAGGTGAAAACTGTGCCTCCTTTTACAGTGAGTCCAGGAAAACGGACCCCTGTACCTGCCTCTCTGACTGACAATGATCGAAGTGAGCCTCACAGTCTGAGCAGTACCAATTCAATGATGTTTCCATTGCGAAACCACCATGATGTATTAGTTATGTACGTAATTCAGTTTTTTACATATCCAAAATGGATTTTTAGAGCTCATCCTAAGGGCAGAGTCCTGTTTTTATCTCTCATTTTACTGTGATTTAAAAGAAGCAAAACTGAAGAGGCATCACACTACCTTGCAGTCAGGATCATGTTTTCTTTTGTCCAAAGATGACTTTTCTCGCTCTTTAGCTTTCTTGTAAGCTTTCTTTTCTTCAGCCATCAAAAGTCGAGCAATTTCCTAAGATATGGGCAATATCATTAGTTACAGATTGAGGTTGTGTCTCACAGTATAGGGAGATCTCATTAATATGAACTGACCTCATCCTGGGCAACCTGAGCCGCTCTTATGTCCACATGCGTCGCCTGTGAACCAGAAGAACAACAAATAACTGTAATCTGTGCTGTCTATTTAAAATATCTTACAAAAAAGGAAGTGAAATTTGAAATGAGTTGTAGCTGAGTCCCCGAAGCTGATGGCCAGTGGGCGCATTTTCACCGGCCAGAATGAAGGGATTGAGCAACTCACTCGACAGAATATTCTTAGAGAACTACCAAAATTTATCAATGCAGAAAATCAGGCTATTGAGTTCTGCTGCTCCATGCTTATCAACATGCACAACTATGGAGGAGGCTTCCTTACCCGATAACACACACTCCCACAGCCTAAGTGAATGACTGAAACTGCAGACAGTGGCGAATCCTACAGAAACTTTTTTCTATGCATACAAACTTAAAAAATGGTTTAATTTACATATCAGTCAAGGAAAAAAATTAATAACCCCAATAATGAAAGATACCACTTTTCATAATATTGTACTTGAAAGTACTTATTTTTAATAACAGATAACTAAACAGTATGGATAAGGGGGGTGATATTCTACTCCCCTTCCTCTGTCTCAATTTCCCCACCCTTAGAAAAAACAAGAGTTTTTAACTGATGGAACCGTAATGCCAACAACAAAATTCTTTAATGGTTATTATAAAACTGAATTGTGATTTGGCTTGCACATACAGCCCTATGACTTCGCTTGAACTTTGACCTTAAATGTACCCACCAAAAGTTCTTCCTCTTGCAATTTTCGGGCAATTTCAGCATCATACCATTCCTGGTCCCTGGGGCTCACTCGTGTGGGAGGACAGACAGCTTCTTTTATTCCTCTCGGTTTCATTCCTGGAAAAAAATTCATTCAATGAGGTAACTGGGGCTGTTTTCTAAAAAGATAAAAATATTAGGAAAAAGAGATCTTAATATTTAAAATGATGATTATAGATTGTACATTGAGATTTCAATGAGGGGTACATCTAAAATGAATTTTTTCCAGGAATGGAAATAGTAACACATACAATTCAAACATTTTAACGAAGTTACTTCCCGAAATCTGCCTGGTAGAAACATTTCTCACAGTTTTTTCAACAGTACAAAGTCATACAAGAAACCAGAACGAAAACAAGTCTTCAAAACAGAAACCAAAAAGAAAAACATAGTCACTGAATATGAAAACATTTAAGAGAAAAGAAGGTTCCAGAACCAGAGTTTTAATGTGGTTTAGACAACCAAGAGAAAGGCTTCCCTCTTAGGTCGTGTAGCCTATTCATCTCCCTGCAGAACAGACAGGGCCAGCTACAAGTAAGGAGAAAACTTGTCAAAAATGACCCTGTTTTCCCTCTGTCACATACACAGAACCATTCGCTCTAGATCTTTCTTACAACTTTGACCCATCTGTTATTGACATTAAAACATTTTAGGGAAAACATAACCTAGAGGAATATCAGAAAGTGCAATGACCTTAAAACTGTGCTCCTCTGGAGAAAGAGAGCTGACTGACAGGTATGCTTTATTACTCTGCTGTGTTATAGGAACACACACAGCCTTCTAGAAATTCCAAATAAGGCAAAAGTTAATCTCATTTCAAAATTGGGGATACTTCTCTTTGCATACCTTTATAGGCTACAGTTAGTCAACAAGGTGAATATATTGCCCTCAGAAATAATAAAACCTTTTAAGGGAATCATAGATCAGTCATGTAGTACAACCATCAGTAAATGAATACCAGAGGGATACAAATTTACTCAGGTAAACTTTCTGTACTACTAGTCAAAGCTACTATCACTTACTAGAATCACTTATGAGTGCTTGAGCAATATTAAAACATCATCCCAGCACCATGCATTCTAACTTGAATAGGCTGGGTGAGCGCTTGCCTTGGGGCATCTATTTTACCCCTTCCAAAGGACTCTCATCTTCAAGCAACTTGGAAGCACTGGCTAAAAACATTATGCCATCAAGATAAGCATATATTAAAATAGTTAGCAAAATATCTAATTACATTTAATTCGCAAGCTGCTAACACATCTACATACATGAAAGTAAATTGTATTTAGAGAATTTTGCTTATATTATGAAATCTATTTTTATAGACATTCTACCGAACATTGTGGTAAATTTAAAATAGAGACTCATATGTGTGGATGCTATCATAAAAACGATGAGAAACCTTGTCTTTCTTAACTCACACTTCCTAGCACCTGACTAACCAGATCATCACAAATCACCTCTAGTGGTATTGAATCCTATGCTGGTTTGGCCTGGTTTACACCAGATTTCTGACTGGTTTGGGATAGTTTCAAGAAGAGAGCATATGCAATTGGGTATTACATTTATCTGAATTATGATTTGTATGACCATATTTAGAAAGGCAGATTTTAGAGAGAACAACTAAACTTAAGTAGAGACTTGACACTCGGTAAAGTCAGTGAATGAATTAATTATTGTATTGTACTCCAATCTACAGAAAGGATTGTACAGAAAGATTGTACAGAAGGATTGTAGATCCTGTAGAAGGATTCTACAGAAAGAACGGCCTAAAGCCTCACTGCAGATAATAGATTATGCCTGATTTTTACCTACTGAAATGTTACAAATGGATACACTCAACTTTCAAAATATCCAACATTTTTCCAACAATGGGTTCTCCTATGCAACAAAATTAACTATATAAACATCAGTTTAAATTCTAACAAAGATGTAGTTAAATGAATAGTGCTATTACACTGACAGGATGATAAAATTATAACTACTATCAGTCTACAAGGCCCAGAGTCCATTAATAAACTCCGAATTTGAACCACCATTTCTCTCTGGCCCAGCTACTAGGATGACAGTTTACTGAGACATCCACACATTACCAGTATTTGCAGTTCTCATTCCACAGAAGCGCCAAGAGCCTAAGACGATGGATCTCTCTAGAGGCAGGATCGCGTCCCCAGCTACAGTGCCTAAGACAATGAATGGATCTCTCTAGAGGCAGGATTGCCTCCCCAGCTACAGTGCCTAAGACAATGAATGGATCTCTCTAGAGGCAGGATCGCGTCCCCAGCTACAGTGCCTAAGACAATGAATGGATCTCTCCAGAGGCAGGATCGCCTCCCCAGCTACAGTGCCTAAGACAATGGATCTCTCTATAGACAGGATCGCCTACAACTACAGTGTCCTCCAGACCCAAAGTGATGAGATGTTTATAAGTATATAGTGCATTGAAAAGTCATCATTATAAAAACAGAGATAATCAAACATGTGGGCACTCTAAATAGAATTTGGAAACTTTTCTTAAATAGAGGGGTCACATCTCAGCTGCTCCCTTCTTTCTGTCTCCTTCCTCTTTCCCTCGGTCTTTTTGTGTGGTGCTGCAGGTGACCATGCTAGGCAATTACTCTACCTGAGCAGTACCTCCAGTTTACATGCAGTTCATATTCTACAACTGAAGAACACAATGACTTCCCGAAGGAAACACAAAAGAACTGATCTGTTTAAATAAAATTTGATGTAGTAAGATAAATGAGAGTGGAGCTCACTAGATAGGGTCTTACTAAACTAAGTAGCCCTGGTTGACCTACAGCTCACCATGTAGACTGGGATAGCCTTCAACTCACAGAGATTCTCCTTCTGTTTCCCAAGTGCTGGGAACAGAGGTATGCACCTGTAACCAAGAAAAACTAAAAATGCTAGAATTGAAGATAAATTTATATTAAGTATGATTTAAAACAAAACGTAACTGATGAGATTTTGGTATTGCATATTTCATAAGAAGCCATTTGAGACGAGATCGGGTGCGTTCAGGGTGGTATGGACGGGTGGTAGTGGCACACGCCTTTAATCCCAGCACTCGAAGGCAGAGGCAGGAGGATCTCTGTGAGTTCGAGGCCAATCTGCTCTACAAGAGCTAGTTCCAAGACAGGCTCCAAAGATACAGAGAAACCCTGTGGGGGGGGGGAGGGTAGGGAGCAATAAAAGAAGCTATTTGACATTTATGGCATGTCACAATGTATCTGAGTCAGAGTTCACAAGGGATACAAGCATGTGTATTTAAGGCCCTGGAAGGTGTAAGCTAACCTGTGTAACTAATAAGCTGTCACAGATGTAAGCACAATAAGTTCCTCTCAAAGTTAGACAGACAGAGTTTAACTGCTTTATGGAAAGTCAACCAACTCTCACTTTATTTTAGCAATTTCATTTTCGGCTGCCTTCTTGCTCCCCTATTCTGCAAATGCTCTTGGACCCAGTGTTGTTACCCTATCCTGTTTGTTTAGTCATTGAAACTGAAAAGGGATCTGGCAGATACCACATCGTAAAGAACTGTAACCATTTCCAATAGCAAGGGCTGACACCAGTACCAAATTATTAGTTCTTAATGTAATCTCCTGACCATGTTCAAAATCAAATACCAACAGGAACTGGAAAGTAAAAGGTTTAAAGCAGGCTGTATAGAAAATGGTGAGTACTAAGTAGTTCCCACTGTAATCATCTTAGTAGCTATAACCATACTGTTCTCTACACCCTGTATTAACAGAGCAAACCTTTATTACAGCTCCAGGACTACTGAAGACTAAGTAGGTGCTTAGTTTCAGGTCCCCAAACTTCTTTAAAAACCCTGGCAGATGACTAAGTGCTCTAAAGGTTAACTGGTCTTCTGAGCACATTCACAACAGGTTCGCAAATTCCAAATGTAGAGGTCAATGGAATTACCATGGAATTACCAAGTCTCCTCCTATACCTCACGGAACTGTGGGCAACATTTTTAATCTAGCCACAGTGTAACTACCCCATCAGCCCGCTTAATGAATACCAGCAACCTCTTCTCTATTCTCCCAGTTCTTTGTTCATGTCTTCCTTACATGATGCATCAAATATGAAAATGTTTATGTAACTGTCTTTAAATACATCCATTTGTCTCTGAAGTTAGACTCTGGCACAAGGCTCAAACAATATATGTGGTATTCAGTACAGCTTGCAAAACTAAAATTTTTCTTTTCTTATAACCAAATCCTTTATTCATTAATTTTATTTTATTTTTACTTTCATTGATTCTTTATGGATTTCACAGCATGCATCCGGATTCCAATTATCTCCCCATCTCCTTGCATCTGCCCTCATAACCAAGACCTTTTACTGTGAGATAGGATAAGAAAGCCAGCAGAGTCAGAATGAATTTGCAGCCTAGAAACTAGCTTTGCAATCACCAGCAAAGCAAGAGTAGAGCACAGCGGGTGCTCCTTGACAGTCCTACTACAGAGACCTTTCCATCTTTGTACAATTCAGAAAGCACTGACTGAAGGCAGAAGGGTGAATGCTATGTCTATTAATTACAGCTGTCACGACAGTGTAGTAGCCACGAGGAAAGCCTTCCCTCAGGATGTCCCTGACAGCACACAGTGCCACTACTGTGTCCATGAAAGACTGATACAAAGTTAAGCTTCGGGGCTGCCAAAATTTAAGAGGTATTTCTTGTACACATTCTTTTCTTATTTTTATTCTAATTTTGTCTTTTTTAACTTTATTTTTTGCATGTATCTATATGGTAAGAAAGTATACACATACATGAGTGGTGCAGTGTTAATGCATGTGTGTATGGTTCCCTGAAGTTATTGGGTATTTTCTTGTTCTCTCTCAATTTTATATGTTGAAGCTAGGTCTGTTGTTGAATTCAGAACTAATTATTTCTGGCTATGGTAGCTATCCAGTGTGTTCCAGAGACCAACCACTGTTTCCTGAGTACTCGAATTATGGGTATCTGCTAAGGGTGCCTGACTTTTCTATGGGTTCTAGATTTAAACTCAGGCTCTCATACTCATGTAGTAAGTGAGCCATCTCCCCAGCTCTTACCCTCTTGCTTCTGTATGTGTATTGAGAACTTGTATATCTTGGCACTTAGAAGAAGTGCACAATTAAAAGTTGCATGATAGACCATAAAAGGTAACTTAAAACAATGATTTTTAAGCTTTAATTATGAAAGTATCACTTACAGGTTTAAAATATTCCAAACGGACTTGAAAATTTCCAGTTTTAAACAATATCCTACCCTAGGTATCTCTGATAAAAATGATCTGAATGTTCAAATCTGAAAGCCCTCTCCCTTACAGATGAGAAAGATGAGTCTAGAGATAAAGTACTTCTCATCCCACTGGCAGACAAACACCTAAGTCAATTACAACCAGATCTTCTTGGTTTGCTTAAATAAAACCAAAAATTCAAGAATTTTCAATTTAAAATCAGAGTATCTTATGCAAGGCTGTGGCAAACAACGACTAGTATTTGGTACCTGTATTTGCAACCTGACCCTGGAGAACCCTCCAACACAGCATGCTCTTGAGGGAGAACAGTACAGATATTTCCTTCTTCTGGAGACCTAAGACCAATAGGAATCTCACACAGTACCTGGCTTCAAGATTTATTTAAGGACAAGAGTTCAAACTGGAGAGACAAAGGCTGTGTACGATGCTATGCTTACTGCACTGATTGGCTTTATACACAGGACTCCCAACAGGGTGACCCATTACCTGCATCATGGTGGTGTTGAAGTTCTTCATCCTCTGAGAAGGGAGGAGTCCTGGGCTTACGTCTCCGTTCTCTGTGATCACCTTGCCCAAGGTCCCTCCCACACACAATTTCATTAGAAGGAAGCCCTGTTTTCTGTGAAGACTTGGGTGAAAGTCTGCCATGGTGTCGGGACTGTTTTTCCCAACTCCGAGTTCGAGGGCTTCTCTTAGCCTCCCAGTCATCAGAGTCAGTGCTCAGAAATACCTCACCACTGATCTTCGGAAGTGGAGGTTTCCGGAGCCTCTCTTGACCAGTCTTTCTTTCATGCTGATCACTGGAAGTCTGGGCATCACCCCTCCCTTTGCCTGAGCTAGAAGGCAGAGATCTCTCTGATGAACAGGGTTCCTCCATATCTTCCAAGTTCTCCAGTAGATGCCTTGATTTCCCGTTCTTCTGCTTTACAGTCTTGCCATCATTTTGGAGTCTATAAAACCTTGAGTTTCCAGAACCCATTTCCCTGGCCCTCCTTGACCTTGGCTGGTCTAAGTGGAGGTAGAAGGTATAAAAATAAAATGGATAACTTAATGAGAATATAAATTCATTACACAGGGAATTTGGGACTCAATATTATCATATTTTTAGGTGGATAAAATTGCTGTGAAACTTCATAAATTGAGAAATGAAGATGAATACTGATTGGATTGGTTCATACAGACATAGTCAAAGAGGTAGAAGCAAAACTTAAGTGAAATGATTTGAATCATAAAGAATCTGATCATGATTAGGAAGAGCTTAGCACGTTCATATTTGCTGATAACAAAATGATGGACAACATCATCAAATCCTACTTCATAACGCCAATACCAAAATGATGAACAGTGTGGTAGTTTGAAAGAACCAGGGAGTGGCACTATTAGGAAGTGTGGCCTTGTTGGAGGAAGTGTGTCATTGGAGCTACAGGCTTTGAGGTCTCATATGTTCTAGCCAAATCCAACATCTCAGACCACTCACTTCCTGTTGCTTGCAATTCAAAATGTAGAAATCTCAGCTCCATTTCCAGCACCATGTCTCCCTGCATGCCACCAGGTCCCATCATAATGATAATGGATCACACCTCTAAAACTGTAAGTCATTCCGATGTAATGTTTTCCTTTATAAGAGTTACCACAGTCAGAGTGTGTCTTCATAGCAATAGAAAACCTAAGACAGACAGCAAACATCAAATTCTGCTTTCTAACGCCAGTCTGCAGCTAGAATAGGTGCTAACAGTTAGAGGTCATAAAGTCTTATAAAACAGTGATGAGATTTCAGTTGTACATTTTTAAGCATTCTTACCGAAGTGATGGTAAGATAAAGTACAATGCTCTTAACTTCTGCTTAGTTCAAAATGACCACAGATCTCTACCCTCTACCTCCAACCCCCGTGTGTTCAAAACAAGCATTCCCAGATACTTCTGGGACCGCCTGGGTAGTTCAGTGTAGAGGGAAGACAGAGTGGAGCAGAATGTTAAGGTAAATGACTTGTTATATTGAGGTAATTCTGTTCCTCATTTTAGTTGAATCCTATCAAGGAAAAAGCTAAAAAGGGAATGACATTTGGAATACATAAACAGGTGTCATTTACCAAATATATTTTAAAAACATCCATACTGTCTTCTAAATACAAATGTAAAGTATAAGCTACAAATGCAAATTCCCCAATTTAAACGAAAAAAAGCTCTACATACATTGGTGTCTTTGTGGGGCTTTATCAGGCCCAAGCATACCATAAAAACAAGAAAGTAAATTAGTGAGCATTTTGCGAGACCAAAGTAACTGTAACATTTCTAAAGCTTTTTAATACACGTTACAAATAGTAAAAACAAATTTCATTCCATAAAAAAAAATGCTCAGAAAACTAAGCTGTTCTTTACTATAACCAGGCATTTGCTGAATACTAAAATAGCTTCCACGAGCAATCAGACTTAAGGCGTCTTGGTCAGGCTGTGTGTTTTGACTCTAATAAAAAGAAAGTATGTAAAAATAGAAGGAAAGTATGCTAAACACAATACTGACAAAATAGCCTCCACTCAACAACCTCAGGTTTCTTTTACATTTTTTTCAAGAAAAGGAACTTTCCTTCAAAAGTGGGTCTAGAGTAAAATCTTCTTTCTTTAACAGATACTAATAAAATATTTTTCTCCATAGTTCAGAATAAAATTTGTACTTGATTTAAAAGTGAAGTCTAACAAGTTCTATAATTTAAAAAAAAAACTGCTCTTTTAACTCCTGTTAACTCTGTCTTCACAACAGATAAAGAATTAATTGGCTGCCGGAATTAATGTAAAATGGACAAGGTATGAAATGATGATCACATTCAGAGAGTTGGTTTATCAGTGTGTTTAGGGGGCGCTATGAGTGGAGTCCATTGGGAAGCTCAGAGCAAACACAAAGGAACTTGTTTGGAGATAAATTATGGGACTATGATTTTTTTTCAATTCTTCCTAAACAGTTAACTGACAGTAGTTTTATTTTCTATAGTTTACCTATGGTGGCATCTTTAAATCTGGGGTAGGAGAGAACACAGTGAGGGATTCTGCTTGAACCTACTCCAACCATTCTAGTTGGAGAAAAAGATTTGTATGTTCTTAAGACCAAGTATTTGTCAAATATAATTAATGCTTTCATTGGCAATCTGTGTGATATGTATGGCACACACATATACACATATGTGTCTACATTTTAAGTGTGTCTCCATATTTGTCATCCAATGTCAGATTTTGTTGAAACAAAATACAAATGTATGTCTGTGCATGTGTTATATATACACTATATATATTTATACACACACATATATATAAAACTTTAAAGTTTACAAGTCACTCATCAAAATTATATTATTTGTTCTTTTCAAAATCTATGAGAAATATATTTTTATAACTTTATCTTACAGATGAGAAAAATGCCTTAGAGAAGTCAGAGTAATTACCTTTGTCAAACTACAAATTGTCCTAAGGGACTAGAGTGATAGTCTTCAAAGGTTATTCATGTATTTAGAAATAATCGCAAATATGAACATGATACCAGGCAAGTGGCTTTGAAGAGAAAGAGGGTTCACAAAGGAATAATTTATGCTATTTTTTCTATGAACATTCACAAATATTTTGGATAATTTAAAATTTAAAATCTATAGATAATCATTTTTAAGACTTATTAAAGCTTATATATATAGCAAAAGATGAAAGGACAAGCATTGATATACTGTGATTATTATATAAGAAAGGCAAAAATCAGATTCTATTAAAAGATAAAGCAGAAACCAAGAATTGATCATGTGTGTTGGGAAAGAATCCTTACATAGGCATGATGCTGCTTTGTAAAGACAAGCTGAATAGCTCAGTCCTTATGGAACCCAACTAGGTCTACTCATTATGGAATACAACTAAGTGTATAAATGAAAACTGCATAGTCAAAAACACACATCATCACCAAAGAAAAAGAAATACCAGTGTCCACACAAGATTGGTGGAGCCAACATTTTCTATTCCTTAATATTCTCTTAGCACCTTGAAATAAGCCTTTATTCTACTCCACTCTCTACAAGTTTAGAAAGATAACTAAAATAAATATAATTCTAGGTATTCTTAAAGAAAAATCACAAAAAGTTTAAATTGTCTCCTACACTAAAGGTGCATCAGGATACTGGTACTGTAATCCAAACACACACAGGCTTGAGTACTAGCTCAAGTTAGTTCAGGTTTTAATGCAAGTACCTAAAATGGACATTTTAGTTAACTCTTCTGCTATGCTAATTTCTTTTAGACTTAAAATTTTAAAATAGAGGGGATGAAGAGGTAGCTCAAGTGGTAGTGAGCACTGGCTGCTTCCCCAGAGGACCGAGGTTTGATTCCCAGAAGCCACATGGTGGCTCACAACCATCTCTAACTCCAGTTCCAGATGATCTGGGGCCCTCTTCTGGCCTCCATGGGAATATGCAGTGCAAAGACATATGTGAACGTAAAACATAAAATAAAATTAAAAAATTGAAGTTACTTTTATTATACTGAGCATGCTTCAAGAGCAAATTTAAAACAAATAAACAAAACCCACAAATTCTGCATTTCTAAGATTCTGACACTAAAGAATAGTAAGTAGGAACCAGAAAGTTAATACTAAATAAAACAATGGTAACAACCTTCCTTCTTTGTGTAAGATGCAATATGCAATTTCAGTAGAAAAATGAGCATAATAAAGAGAGCTCTTTGAAGAGTTGAATTTATGTAAGAAGACATCAAGCTACTTCCCAAACAGGCCAGAGAGCTGACTGCTAACCAATTACATTCATGTTAGTTAAAAAAAAAAAAAAGAAAGAAAAAAAAAAGTGACTGAGCAACACTATTCTCAAACTACAATAATCCTACCAACTATACACAGATTGAGTCATCTCATTTAGGGCAAAGACATACTTCTACATGATAAAAATTTTTTAAAGCAGCTGATCTCGGGTTTCAAGGCCCTATAGTCAATGTTTACTGTCTAGGCTGTCTTTAATTTTGTTCATTGGTATCCCTGGAAGTACAGTCTTGAAACTGGACCTCAATAATCAGAAAGACAAGAAGCTAGAAGAAATTTTTTTCATCTGGCAGATCTTTAAAAGAGTTGAACTATGTTCTGTGTTCGCAAATATTCTGTTCCCAACACACTTTGAGATTATCCCCACCACACCATTAGCACCAAGATGAAAAGCAGCAGTAAACAGATGGAACTCTTTCCCTCCCAAATCCTACATGCTAATCAAACGGCAGGGAAATCATCATTAAGCTGACAGTAAATCTCACAGCTTGGGTGGTACTGCAGGCAATCAGAGGGAAAAGCAGGGTGAAGAAGGCTCGTTTACCCACTGACTGATGCATGATGCACCTTCCTATTCAAACAGCTCTGCTCAGACTTTTTGAGGAAAGTCAATGCAGAACTGTACCCGCCGTTTGCCATATTACATTACTTTGTAATTAACACAACACTACAATAGCTTCAGCACCAAGAGTGCATTAGTGTTACAAAGCCATATTCAAGTTCCAAGTAAAAACATGGCCATTAAATAAATAAGAAATACAGCTATCTATTAAAATAAAATAGGATATAAATTCAAAACTCAAATAGAACACTGCCACGAATCTACATGCACCCAAGGTCTGGGATAAGATCACGTCTGTCCCGCAGTCCTTAGCTGACATTGTGGACCAACAGAAACAGGAGATTTGTAGCTGGGGTAAGGACTGGTAGTCATGACACAGGCACTGGCTGTTACCTCCATCTTCATGATAGTAGTTATCCCCAAAAGCACGGCCCCCAGAAGGCTCTGGAATGTGCTTCTTCCTCTTTTTCTCTTCTTGTAGCTCCTTCTCTTGCAAAAGACGTGCTATGTCCTATAAAGCAAAAGGGAAGCGAGAATACTGTCACCAGAGAGCAAACAAGGCTGACGCAGGCAAACTGGAGTTCCTCCTGTCAGCTGTCTCTGCTGTCTAAGGCTCCACAGCCTTCCAAGCAAACATCAAACGTCATTCAAATGCCAATGTGACTGCTCAGCAAGAGGGATGCATAATCTAGAAAAGCCTGATAGGCTTTATTTCTTCCCCAACTGAAACATAAAGCTAGCTACAAAGCGAGTCAAAGTAATTTTGTCTAAAGCTGATTCTGATTACAGCATAATTTTTAAAATAAGTCTTGTGAAGTCTTTTATCCAAATAGATGATTTGGATTGGCAAGGAAATAGTAAAAAATTATAAAACTAATCATGTGATTCTGATCTGTCTTTTCACAAGAATACTGCTGTGTTAAGAGAAAAGGAGAAGATAAGCACCCCCAGACCACATTCTGAGCAGGTGCTATGGGTTCTAATTCTTTCCCCAAATATGACCGCCCTGCAGAGGCGCATACAAACAACCTCAGTACCATGAAGATGACACAAGGTGCATGCAGACAACCTTTGTAACGTGAGGATGACACCTCAGACACACTGAGTATCTATAGAGACACCAAAGAAGGAACACTACTAATGTGTCAAGGAATTCTGCGGCTCTGAACTGTTAGGCTTTAAACCAGGCACAACATTTCAACAGGCACTATGCAAAATTACTCAGGTAACATTATTTCCCTTCTCAGATCTTTGATGGGATTAAAGATTATATAAACGTAGTTACTTTCTTTTCATGACGTGGCCAAGTTATTTCTTATACAAGACTTAAGCTAGTTAGAATAGGATATTTGTATTTATTGTATATAATTGTGTAGGTTTGTACTTACTGTATATAATTTCGTAGTAGGCTTAGAACTCTCTTACTTAAACAAAGGAGGGAGGTGTTGTGGGAGTAACTTCCGCTGCCTCAACCAATAGTCGCTAAAATACGAGCCCACAGTGCAGCGGGGAGCGACTTCCGCTCCGTCAGCCAATAGCTGCTAAAATACCAGCCCACTGGGGCGTGGTATATTTCTCTTTTAAAAAGAGAAACAGATCCGGATGCTTCTCCAGGTGCTTGCTCCTGGCTCCTGCTCCCGGCTCCTACGACTTGGCTCCCTTCCTGACGGTTTATGGTGTATGTAAGTTTTATCCCCCAAAATAAATAACCCCTTAAAACATAACTGGTGTGGGATTGATTCGCCGATATTCCTGGCCATGATCAAAGTGCTTTCCTCTGAAACCAAAGGCGGCTGGTATTAGTCACTGAGCTGGACACAGTCAGTCAACTGGTCACCTTGTATGTGAAGTCTTATGGATCCTTAGCTCCCTTCGTACAAACACATCCTCCAGAAAGGAGCATACTGTCTCACCAGATCCTCCAAGGAAATAGAAAGCATTCAGTTCAAAACATACACTGTAGTTAACTCTTTAAAGTGCACACTGAAAGCTGAGGGTCCAGCTCAGTGTAAACGTACCTCAAGCACACCCAAGGGTCTGAGCTCAATCTCTAGTATTACTCTCCCAAATACATTAAACAAAATGTATCTTAAAATTTTTAAAACTAGACAGAAGAAACTGTTTAGGTTAAGAAGTAACCTAGGATTTTTCAATTTTGTTTTATGACAGTGTTTTATTAAATTAAAAAATATGCAGCTTGCAGAATTCATGTTTTATGAAATAAAATGGGCAAGCATATCTTCAAGAAATCTTAACCCTTTCTGAACTCAGGCCTAATCAGCTTTAATTTATCAGGTAGTTGGGCAAGTCTGCAGAAATGACCCATTTACAGAAGACCGTATGGTTAGAATGTGAGTCTGCCAACATTATATTTCATTTCTCCCTTTTCTAGTGTCAATCATATAAAGGACAGTGTTCAAGATCTCTAGAATGCTGGAAGAAAGCAATGAAAACATGCATTTGCAAATTTCCTTGAAGAAGCCAAATATCATGTTCCGGACAGGAAAGAATCTGAATACCAGCCAGGATACTTAGCAACATCTATCAAGTGGCAAAGGCTCATGAAACACCGCCGGGAATGGTGGTTCAGTGCTCTAGGACAGACGTTAGAGCAGCCCCAGGACCACTCTATTAATCACAGGAAATTCTACACTACACAGGGTGTGTTAGGATTAGTTCTCCAGGAATGCTCTCACCTCTGTCCTCTAGTCATCGTGAGTTTTAAAAGAAAGACACTTTTAACTTAAAAAAGAAAAGAGATCTAAAAATATGAGGTGTAAATGGGGAAAGTGGGGACAACAAAACCACCCAAGTAGATTGTTAGTCTACTTCATTAGTTAGCATTTTACACATGAATACCTAACTTAGGGGACATCTCAAAGCTGGTATAATGAAGGGTTGTGCTGTAAAGCCAGGAAAACTGGAAAAGGCTATAGGTACAAAAGTAGCAATATCACTGGGATAAGGAAAGCAGGGTTTTCTCAACTAGAAGCCCCCTTCCCTTAGCCTTACTGCTACAAATGTATAAAAGCAGGTTACAGTTCAAATCACAGAAAAGTGTACTAACAAAAATATATGTTATTTGAGCTGCTCTTAAAATAACAAACTTATATAAATATACTTTTATAAAATCTTGAAACCCTGAGGGTACTATGGATAAGCAGACATAACACTGAGTTCATTTTGATTATAAATTAGTTACTAAGTTTATCTCTGAGTAGTTCATAGTACAGATGGCTTCAAACTGTTAGACCAGAACCACAATCTTGCATGACAGGGCTAACCACGCTAATATTTACATAAGAAAAACCAACCTTTCCTAAAATAGTAGCACATCGCATGTGTCTAGACCAAGTTTTAAATGTACAAAATATGATATGCCTCTACACACACACACATACACACACACACAGAGAAACATACATTTCATACATATATACTGACTTAGAAGAATTGTCAAGTTAAGTCAACTAAATATAGCTTCTCTTAATTCATTTTAAAAACACCAACAAATGCCTCTACTGTGACAAAAATGGAACCAACCCACATGTCTGGATTTCAAACCCTACCAGTGCCCTGCAAGGCTCTCCACTAGACACGTAGGGAAAACTCAACTAGTGTATTTAGGGGAAATGGAGACCAGAAGAGGTTCACAATGCTAACCAGCTACCTCTGTGCTCCTCCTTTTTTCTCCCAGCACAGTGGTTTCTTCGCTTGTATCTGCTGGGCTAACACATACAACAGTAATTACAATAAACACGATAATAAATAAAAACTGAAAACATCTATGGTTAATCATAAAGACTTAATTGCTGAAATTCCGGGTGCATTTCTCAGTTCACTTTTGACTCAGTTAGGGAAAGAAAACAGATAGGTCAAAATATAGTGGAGGGCAAGCAAATAGAAGGCCTGAAAGGAAGACCCTTAAATCACACCCCAATGGAACATATTTTGCTTACTTAATTTTTTCCTAATTTTGCATATATATACTCTGGGAAAAAATTCATACTGTTATAAGGGAATGGAAGTGGAAAAACCAACCAGTCAAAAGCAAAAGGAAAAGAAATTCTCCACTTAAGTAGCAGAGGCCCCTTACACACCACCTCTCTAAAACCCTACCGCAGCCTTTCAGTGCAAAGGTGTATCAGCTGACAGGACTGCCACTTGGGAACCGAAGACTGCATACTTAATTGAACAGGTGGAAATCAAACAGTTAAAAGCTGAAAAGCTGAAATTTAGGCCTGAGCTTTCCAACTCTAAAACACAGGTTTCATATTGTGCCACAGTACATATAAGTCAGAACTAAACAGTACAAACAAAATTTTCTAGCATCTTACTATAATATGGAATGAAGTCACTATTTAAGACTTAACTTTCTTCATCTCCAAACTGGAATTAATAACTACCTAGCTTACTTGAACTCACATACTTAAAATCAAGTGTTTGGTTTCTCTTTCTAGCCCATGGCTTTCTGGATTGAGGTAGGGTTGGAGAATATAAGTAGCATTTATAAGAGGTCACTCTCTCTGTTATTTTACAAAAAGAAGCTTCCTGTCTATAAAATACAATTACTTATTTCAGCCTGGCTTCATCCCAAAGGAAAGCACTTACTGTAAAGAGGCATGACATCCTGCAGTAAGAAAAGGGTTCCTGTGATACTAACAGACTGGGTCAGAAGTCAACACGACTTCTTCGTGTAGTGATAATTATCAGATAATCACAATTTATTTTTTAACAAACAGCTAAATATACTCAGATATTTCACAATCACTGGTTACTGAATGAATCTTTAGGTGCAAAGGTGGCTCTTTGTCTGTAGGCTAATTTGCTAATGACCCTGCTATATCTAAAAGTGACACATGTGTAAATTAGCTCAGAAGAGTCTCAATTTATGTGACTATTATTAGTACCACCCCCTGTAGCTATAAAAGATGTTTCTGGAAATTTAACAAATCAGACTGTAAGGCTGCCATTAAAATTGACCGATTGTTTTCTATAATGATATAAGAGAGTATAAGGACCACCAACAGCCTAGAATGTATGAAAGAAGGTAGACACAGAATTAGTGTACATAAAATTCTCAGTCTTAGAGCATTCTCAGTATAGATTCTTACAAATAAATAGCACAACAGCAAACATCTACAAATTCATCTTCTAACAATCGAAGCATTATAACTTGTTCATTTCAGCTTTAAAAATGAACTTAACAAGAATGGAAGAATCAAATGCTCTGGGTCAGCATAAACAGAGAGAGAGAATAACGCCAGCTCCTGGGACCCCACAAGAACTGACGCCTCACTCCAGAGGGAGCCGCTCTCTAGGCCTCCTCCCAAACGCTGCAACTCACATGCAGAGAGTTTTAGCAAGCTGAAGAATGCTCACTTTCACTCAGCCAGAGCCTCAGAATGTGGTCTTATTTGAGGCCTTTGTGGATATAATAATTTAAGGTCATATAGGCATGACAGGTCCTCGAACCAATCATGAGCTTCTTGCTATGATTGTTGCTATGATTGTTGCTATGAAGATGCTATCATAGCATCTTCGTTGCTATGATAACGAAGATGGGCAGCTGGGGCACAGTTTCCCAGAGAAGGTCATCTTAGACTTCCTGTTTCTGAGAATAAGTTCCTATCCTGTTAAGTCATCATGATGGAGACAGCAGTGCTAGGAAACTAACTCAGATTTCATGTCAAGACTTCCCCAGGATACAAGCCATCAAGAAACAGTGGTACACAAAAAACAACACCTAAGCCCTACTGCATTCCAGATGAGGAGTCCTGCTGTCATCCAGAAAGGATGCAGGAGCTCACCAAAGTCGTACCTCATCCTTCTTCTCCTGAATTCGTCGTCTCTCGGCCTCTATAGTCAGTTTCTCCTGAATTTCTTGAGCAATTTCACAGTCATGTTGTTCACTGTAAAACAAAGGTAATGGTGATATAAACAAAGGACACAAGGGAACACTTTTGTTACACAGAACAGTTCATTGAATACTGTTATAAGCTGTTACAATTCAATTTACATGACAGTAACAGAAAAGACCACTGCCCAACTGAACCAAGTAAAAAGTTGGATCATAAAGTGACTGTGTGGAAAATCTGGCATTCCTTCAGATATAATGAAAGCTGCATTGCTTTACCCAAGTGAGGCCACTTTACAGGAAGATAGAGGGTCTTCCAAAATTCTGCAGAAGCTCTATATAGTCCAGGAGATCAATACCCACCAATATGCAAATATATAGCACACAGAAAAAGAATGTAAACAAGATCATAAAAACATCAATAATTTTATAATCACAGGTAGTGTATGATTTTAATTGTTGTATAAATATGATCTATATTATTTTTAAATTTAGAAAGGAACACTAAAAGATTTGTTAAAATTTAAAAGGACAAAAGAGCTCGTGTTTTTCCACTGTGGTTCTCAGTGGAGGCTTCTTTAGGAAACGTCAATTTTCTCAATGCTTTAGACATGAGAGACATTGCAGTTATCATGGCTTTTGTCTTTTATACGTTCAGAAGGGGTGAAACCAGGGCAATCATTTCGGTAAGCAAACTCTCCTAGTATCTTTAAGAAGCCTGGTTCTCTGAGAAGTAATTAACTATAAAGTACAATCCTAGGTACTGTTCTGATTTCAGGTTTTAGGAAAAACGAGAGTTAAAATTCTAGACTGTGATAATTCTGGGGAGTTATCTTTTGTGTAAAGTAACCATCTAGGAAAGATGAACGAAATTATGTTTAGAAATGACTACTTCAAAACAAGCTAGAAAAATTCAACTTATAATTTGCAGTTCACCTGCTAAATAAATATATCTCCTCCTATTTTCCCTCCAACAATTGAACTTCAAGTATTCTTTGAGTCTCAGATGTGGCTGTATATTCCATTGAGAATCAGCAAGATACATTACAAAGTATTGTCAGGGGAACTCTAACTTCTCTGGAGTGACTGAAATCAAAATATTCTAACAAACCCATGGAGATAAAAATAATTTTCATTTATATCATAAAATGTTGAATATTCTTGGAAATTGGTAGATGTATCTAAAAGTAGAAGTGTGACCATACATACTAGTGTGAATACACAACGGATTCTGTTTTAAGACACGGTAGCAAAGAAACAATCCCTAAATGAAAAGTCTGCAGACCTGATTTTGGTTAGTCATGAGCTATGACTTCTCATGCCACTGAATAAGTTTAAAAAAATGGTTTAGACTTTATGTTCCAGGTTGAGTAAGTTAGGATCTTACCCATTATCACACAGAAATCAACTTTAAAAAGGTGATAGAGAACAGGAAGAACTAGAAGCACAGTGTGGAAAGCAGGTCGAAATTCCAAAGGTCACGAGCGACACGGAAGTTACAGAACTCAAGCTTAGCGTCACAATGTCAAAGCCTGCTTCTACGTAGGGTCAGTTCCAGCACAGTCGGCTAAAGGGACAGAACCATGAGGAAGGGGGACTGTGAGCACAGAGCAGTCAATGCTGGTCACCCTGGCTCGAAGTGGCTAAAGGTCCCAATCTGAGTGAAAAGTACCATTAATGGAAATTTCTGCTGTGCCAGCTACCAGACTGCCAGGGAGAAAAGGCTGAAAGCTGCTACTTCTAGCTTCCTAGGAGCCCACAACATTTTCTCACATTTAGCAATTATAACCTATCATACTACACCTCAGTGCTTTCTAGAACATTGTGCTTCTTAAAAAGTAAGGAAACCAAAGAAGGATGGTGCAACAAACACAGCTAAGAAAACTAAAGGAACCCATTATGGCACATAAAGAATTGGTGTCTACTATTCCAATGCTTCCCCCAAACAAACTTAGTCAGAAGATAAGAGATTATTTTCTTCATGGCATAGGTACAAAGACTAAATTGAAAGAGACAAACCAATCAGCTCAAAGTCAAAGAGTTAAAAGTGTGCCTACCATGACTAACATTTCCCAATTGCATATTTCAGTAACAAAGAGAATTACTGGACAGCCACCACATAATTTGTAATCCCAGACAAAAAAAAGACACGGAGAGCCAGAAGGGGCCCTCCCTGCCCTGGCTGCTGTCCCATAGGCATGCTTCTATCAGTGATATTCCCCAGATCTCACAGGTCTTTGTATCGCTTCTGGAGCTGGGCTTGGGCTTTTAGATCTTCCTCTTGGAGCTGCTTAGCCACCTGCAGATCATGCTGGACCAGACGGTTCCGCTGAATGTTTGATGCCAAATGATGCTCAACTGAACAGGACAATAGAAGGGGAGTCACAATGTTTGACAGGTCAATCAAAAGCTTATAATTAATTTAAGTAGAGACTCGCCATTATAAAAGTCATATACCCACCACTCCACTTTATGCTTTTAACAAAAGATAAAAACGCTTCAGGAGTTACTCTACTGAGTAAAAAGGAGACCAACAGGAATAAGTCAATTGCTTTTCTGATCACGTGACATAACTGCAGCAGTGCCAGGACGTCTATATAGGCACCCTAAGCTGGCCACCGTTCTTTCTACTGAACTCTGTTGCCATTCCAAGAACTCACAAATCATGAACTCATAAAATACTATCTAAATGGGTTTTACTTTCTACTAAAACACTAAGTATTCAGAAAAATCCACCATGTGGGGTTGGGACTATACCTTTGTTAGCAGAGTGCATGCCCAGCATGCAGGGAGCCCCAAGTCCCATCCTCAGCAGGGTATCAACAGGGTGTGGTGTCACATGCTTGCAATGCCAGCACTTGGGACACAGAGGCAGTAGGATCAGATTTCCAAGATCATCCTAAACTACAATGGCGGGGGGGGGGGGGCGGGGGGGGGATGGGACACGGGACTCAGATCAGCCTGGGCTACAGGAGACCCTATCTCAACCTATCTCAAACTACAAAAAGTACATGCAGTGTAACTTAACACAGACACTACTACTGCCTATGGAAAATGTCCCATTTTCTATTCCAAGGCCAAGCTTCTGACACACTACAGATACATTTACAACCACTGTCTCCCTCCTATGGAAGGGAAGGGAAAAGTCAGTCCTTTTCCTCCAGAAAGTGAGCACTATTCTTATCCCTGACTCATTTGAAAATATACAGAATTCATTATTTACCCTTGTCACTTGCCAGGACCTTTCCTTCAGAATAGATATGAGGTATACTTAGTGACTTTCTCGTTACTTAACAGGAAGAAAAAGCCTCATCGACCACTAAAGAGAAAGCTGCAGGAGCACGAATTAGAGCTGCTACTCACTCTCTTGTTCCTGCAGGCTATGAGCCAGGGTGTGGTCTTCTAGGACAGCAAAATCTCGACACACTGTAGAGGAGGAAGAGCAGAATGGAGAAATTATTAGTATTACTATACATCTGCATAAATATAAAAGAATTTTGTCTACTTTAAAACAATTTAAATATTTTGCAATTTATTAGCTTAATTTATAAAATAAATTACAATGCATAATTCATCATTCACCAAAATTCCTAGTGATGGGGCTGAAGAAACAGCTCAGTGGTTAAGAACAATTATTGTTTTTACAAAGGACCTTGGTTTAGATCCCAGCAACCCACATGTCAGCTTATAACAGTGAGTCCAGCACATTCTTCTGGTCTCCACAGACACCAGACACCCATGTGTTGAACATATATAAAAGCAGAAAAACACTCATACACATAAAACAAAACAAAAAAATAAGTCATAAAATAAAAAACCCTAGAGCCTACTAAATGTCAATCAAGTGTGCCACAAATCAATGGTTAGCTCTTCCTTCCTAGCCTCAGAACCCAGAGGTCTACAAACTCCCATCTGCCTCTCTATGGTGCAGTTAAAATAACTAGAGTCAACAATGCTTTGCACATTGTTGCACAGGAAATCTGGTTTCTAGCAGGGTTTGAAGAGTCACAGATTCTTGCTGCACCTTGACCTATAGTTCTTCTAGAGAGCTGAGCTTATTTCAGAGATCTCACCTTATTTCCTCAGGTAGGAGAGCACTCCTCTGAGGTTAGTCACCTTCCTTAATGGCTGGACACGTAAGCTAGAATGGAATTCCTAGTTTTGTGTATACCAAGAGATATTCCCCAATTATCTGCAATCCAAAGACAACGGGAATCCTTGAGACCATGGATCCTCCCCTAATTTAGTAGCCATGGATCATTTGAAAAGATGTAGGGGGAATCCTGGAGATGTCAAGACTATTTTAAAATAGTTATACAGCACAGGAATCATTTCTGCCCAATAAATATGTTCAACTGAATATAATTTGCTTTTCAAATGTAACTGTTAAACTAGTAATTCCAATTGAAATGTGTTCTTCTCATCAGATGTATATTCAGAAAATTCTAAACACTTGAGGCCCAGCTTGACTCACTATTCAACACATGCAGTGAAAGTGCTGTCAAATTATACTAGTTGACATCTTGGGCAGATAGATGGTCTGCATAAGGACTAAACAATGGTAGCAAGGCTGGAATTAAAAGTCAATATTTAACAGTAAAAGCTCAATTTTCCCTAACAAGTTGACAGCCCTTTTTAATTCCAATAAACTGGAAGAAATGATTGTCAAAAAAAAAATTCTATTGCCAAAAAAAAAGTCTAGAGACTTCCAACATGAAGTCTCTAAAACATTTCAACTAATTAATACAGAATTTTTCTTGGCTAATCCATACGTGTTTTCATCTTAGAGGAAACAAGAGTTCACAATGTATTGCCAATGATGAATATCACCAAATGCATGGCCTTATTAACTGATCTTATTATAGTACTAATGGAAACACTTATGTACAAAGAATAGGTCAAGTTTTTATATTACTCTTATGAGCACTATTTTCAGAAAAGCATTTGGAAAAGAAGACTACATGTAGGAAGAATGGCAGTTTGTAATCCCAGCATTCAGGGGCTAATGAGGAAAGATTGAAAGTTCAGGCCAGCATGAGGTACACAGCAAGATTCCATATAAAAGCATTAATAATAATTAACAGAAAACAAAGTCTATAATACATAGTACAGGGGACTATACTTTGGAGAAACTTTTTTTCAGGATTACAGATACAAACATAAATACATATATGTATCTACATTATATGTGCCAGCTTCTTGGTTTCTGTACTTCTTAAACTTTTTGTAATGTATTCTAAATTTAGAGTTTTCTAACAACTTCCAAGTATATAATTTCATTTAGAAAGAAATATTATTAGTCTGATGTACAATTCTTTTGTGCCAACCTCATTGCCATTCAAGGCCCTCCTGAGTTCACTGCATCACTGCTCTCAAGCAAGCAGAAGCAGTTAGAAATATGGACATCTTTGTAAACCAGAATGGCACTGGAGTAAATACTTCACAGCCAAGTTCAGAAGACAGATGAAACCTCTGACCCTTCTCTGTCCTGCTCCATGGGAAGTGAGCGACACTGACAGTCCAGCCATCTTAGAGCACACATGCAAAGCACTGGTAAGGGAACTTAAATGTCCCTACTTTTCACACCGCTACATTCAGTTTCACTCGCCAGGCATTTTCATCAACTGCAGTCTTGCGGGCAGGGACTGTGTGGGGGCTATCTCCACACCTTCTCTACACAGCGTATGCATCCAGAAAAACTACGGGATGCTGATTAAATGCAAAATGCTGACAATTCTGAGAAAGAGTGCTAACTAGTAGCACTCCAAGTGAAGCAGCTAATGAAATCAGTATAAGAAGAAGCAGACTATTCCAAACAGAAGAGGAAGAGCCTTCAGCCTTCACACAGGCAGAGGGTGACAGGACAACTGAAATATATGGGAAATGAGAAAGGCAATCCTGCAAAAAGCAGCCACAGTGAACACATCAAGCACATAGTTCCCTGGGAGGAGCAAGTGGGAAAAAAAAGCCTCATCCAAGGGAGACCTGGTGAAGAGACCAGACTCAGACTCAGAACAAGTCCATAGCACGTACACACTCAAATCCTACTGAAGTAAGTGATGGATCAGCAGTGGAGAAGAACTACTCTGTCACACGGTGTGACTTCAAGGTCCATGAGTAGGCACCATCTTGAGATGTGGGGGCCTGAAAACAGAACACACCCAGAAGTCAGGTGTCTAAATAGAACCTGTCACCACCCCGGAGTGTAATACTGCCCAAAGAAGGCAGTGACAAATTCAAAAGAGCAAACTACAGTAGAAGTGGCAACAGAACCCCAGAAAATGTTCTGCCAGGTATACCTCAGGCAGGTTATTACTATCCAGAACATATAAAGGTGACAAATAATAATCCCAAGAGGCTAGGGTTGTAATCACCGGGTAGAGCACTTGCCTGGCACTTACAAGGCCCTGGATTCTAGCCACTGCACACATCTGTAATCCAAGCACAAGAAATAGAGGTGGAATGATCAAAACAGTCAAGGTTATCTTCTGCCTCACCGTGAGTCTGAGAAAAGCCTGGGCTACATGAGACCACATCCAAACCCATAAGAAAAAAAAAAAAAAGTCAACAAGTCAGTAAATGGACCAGCGAACCAGTGAGGTGAACAGATGCCTTTAAAAAGAAAACCAAAGATCTAATAGTTGAAAAATTGTTGAATATTCTTAGCCACCAGGCATGTAAATAAAAGTTTTCTAAGAGTCCATCTCACCACTGTTAGAATAGCTGCCATCAAGAGAACAAACAACAACGGGTGGTGGAGATGGTAAAGCTACAAGAAATAATCCTATATCACTGTGCAAACAGGAACGTAAACTTGTTCATTTATGTTCACTACTGCTCTATTCTCAAGAACCAGAAATTAAAGATGTCCATCAACTGATGAGTAGACAATGGTGTGTTAGTGAACAGTTTAGAAAACAAAATTATTAACTTTGCAGGTAAATGTTTAGAGTTAGAAAAATTTATCCTGAGTGAGGTGACCCAGACCCAAAAAGACAAGTATTGTACATTTTCTCTTCTATGTGAATATTAGCTTTTAAGCCTCTGGTAAGCATGATACAATCCTTGTAATCACAAAGATTAGGTGTAGAGTAAGGGACCAGGAGGGAAGGAGGGTCCCCGAGGAAAGGGAACTAGCATACTGGAGAGGTGCAGTAAGGGTGTGAGTTGGGTAGGAGGGTTAAGTGGAAAGGGGATGCAGGACATGGGTCAGGGAGAGAACGTGAAGGATAACTAACAATAAGGTCACTGGAGGTCATATGGAAATGTGCTACTGTAGAAGCTGTCCAATAGATACAAGTATATACGATATGAATGGGGTCACCAAAGCCCAGGGAAGAAAATGCCCCAACTAGACATCTCTCACCACTAAGTGAAATTTCCAGTGCTAGGAATGGTTATATCAAGTTGAGTCAATGACCATAGGGGAGGGGAAACTGTGATTAGGACAGTATATGAAAAATTGATTCATTAATAAATAGAATGTAATAGTATATGTATAGCCACTAAGAATATCAGGGGTGGCGCCTCAGAAAACTAAAAACAGAACTGCCATATGACACAACTATATCACTCTTGTGTATAAAACCAAAGAACTCTAAGTTAACATGTAAAGGTGAATTTGTAAGTAAAGTAAAGTTAAAACCAATTAAGAAAAACAAAAGTAAAACATAAAACTGCTTAGGATCTCCTCAAGCTCAGTGTCCTGATGTACAGAAGTCTAGGAATCACAGCAGTGGAGTGAGCTGTGAAGACCCTGTGTACTCTAGCACCTGCACTGGCAAACACAACAGCATTCCCAAGGCAGTTTTTATATGAAATTTATCCAAAAACAAAAGCAAACTCCCTGATATTACAACAGATTCTACTACAAACCAATCAAATCTGCCCCTTTATAATTTTATTTCTTTTTTCTCTTCTTCAATCACTGATCTATCTCTTCTTGTTTTATCATCATTTGTCCCTACAAACACATCTACTCACCAGCTTCACCTCTGAGCTTCAGACACTGCCGGTGTCCCAATTCTCCCTACAATAATTGCAGGGTTTTCCAAACACATAATTACAGAACTACTTTTTATGCAAATAGCACCCCACCCATTCTCTTCTTGACAATCAGTCACAAAGAAGAAACTTTATTCCTCTATCAACAACTCTAAAAAGTTGACTATCAGTGATTAGAATTCCAGCCCAAAGAAAGCAAATGTAAAGTCTTAAAATAGTATTTTTAAAGTGTTTTCTTATTCATTAATAGTAACAGATTTTGACCACCTCAGTTTTCTTTCAATAGATAAAGAAATTAGTGTATATTTTACATAAAATGCTTTAAAGTTTTGGTTTAAAAAACACACTTAAACCATGTTTATTGCTTGTGAACTAAGTATTCTCTTTAAACTTGTTTTAAGGATGTATCCTTTTTATTACTGAGAAATTTAGAAGTGACAGAGCATAAGTCATTGAATTCTCCTACCTTTTGTAGTAGATAAAGAGGGGTGTCCCCCTCACATTCTCCACAAGCATGCACAGACACACAAACACATCAAAGTGCAAGCAGAAATTCCATTTGCTTTTCCAACAAATGAACTCATTCTCAAACTTTAGCCAATTAGTAAGCATTTATTTATTTATACTGGTAAGAAAAAGCTAAGTAAGAGTCAAAAAGAGTAAAGTGATATTTTCTAAACTAATTCTGCTCAAAGTTTAGCTAAACTATATTCTTTCAGTAAGAACTCTTCCTTTCACTCCAGTGTGGCTACAGAGTGAATAGATATAGTTACAGTAAATATATGGGTATTTGTGTGTGTGTGTACACTATTCAATCTATCTACACAAGTAAGAAGCACTGACACATAAAAATGCTTAGACTACTAATGCATTCACTAGAGACTATTTCTTTCAAGTCCCCCTTTATGGGATGGTAGAATTGTATGTGTTGTCCTCTTTTAAGTGAGTACTAGTAGCAGCAGATGGAATACTAGCTGATTTCTTTGAGACAGGGTTTGGCATTGTGTCTGCTGTCATCCACTCAATGAGGATATTCCAAACATAGTCTGTACTGAGAATGTGTGACAGTCACAAGTTGACATTTATAGGATTTGCATGATTATTTCTCCTAACCATCTATAAATCAAGGTTTACTGACATGCTCATTTAGTTTATGGATGAAACTGAAACAAAATGAAGTGGCTTGAGCAAGATCTTCCAGCAAACAAACAAACATTAATGAAGTTCACCACTTCTGGTCTCAAATATTAATGTGCTAAAATTTGAACTGAGATAAATAATATGCATTTCTGAATATCAGAAAGGATAGATAATATTAAATGCTAGTTAGAATAATACAAATATATGGGTGGTTTTTTGGACTGGAGAGGGAAATTAATTTCAAGAAAGATGGTCTATATATGCATTTGTACATTGGTTTCAAAAATCCCTCAATAGAAGAGATGGGAGGTAATTTACTTTCCTACAGTCTTTCCTTGGAGTACACCTCTACCACCAATGAGACTCCTTCTCAATGCACTCTGGAAAAGCAGTAAGGTTAAGTCATCCATGGTGCTTGTTAGGACACAAAACATTGTAGTTTTTATTGGACCACAAAAAAAAAAAAAATCAAGGATATTAGGACCTTACAATGATCCCCCGCTTCCCTCTATTTCAGGCCGAAGAATCTCCCCTCAGGAGAGATAGTACTAAAGAATTTTAGACTAATATGTCTAAGACAGAGGTTCTCAACCTGTGGATTGAATTATCCTTTTACAGGGGTCATCTGTGCAAAACACAGATACTTACATTATGATCCACAACAGGAGCAAAATATAGTCATGAAGTAGCAATAAAAATAATTTTATGGTTGGGGGGGTTACTGCAACATGAGGTAATATATTAAAGGGTTGCAGCATTAGGAAGGTTGAGAACCAATGGTCTAAGAGATAATATCACATGTGTATGTATGTATATATGCATGTATATATGAATGCATGTCTGTACACACACACATACACACACCACACTGGTGCAAGCAGAGCCCAACAATGATCTTGGAGAGCATTACAGAATACTTTGATTACAGCAGAAATATCTGACTTTTTAACTTAAGTTGATTTTTAGAATGTTCCAGAAAGAGAAAGCATAAAAATCTTAGTAATATACTGTAAGATTACGATGTAACTGAAATTCCTTACCATTTGGGACATTTCTATTTACCAATTATTTTCCATAAAGGGGATACTTACAATCCTTTCAAGTAATTTTATAATAAGATGTATTTTATACATACATAATAAGATATGTTTTTACTGTAATTTAAATATCCAAATTAAATATCTAAACAGAAGGCAACAAATACTCATTAAAAATATCAGGTTCACCATAAGGTTTTATTGATTCAATATATACTGTTCGATTAGAGCTTTTGTGTTTTATGAAAAAATACAAATAAAAATAAAATTTACATAAATTTTCTGAAGCAGCAATGGTAAAGTACTAAGATTATTTCATTCTTATCAGAAAATTAAAGTCGATTCTTCACTTGGCAAAACTATTAGCATAAACTATGCAAGTAAATTTATGTTAGAACTTAAATAAAAGAACAGAATTATAGAATTGAAAGATAATATGCATGGATTTAAACATGTGCACACTTGAGTGCACACACACACACACAGACACACAACACATAGACAACACAGACACACACAAGATACACACAAACACAAATAAACAGATTTGTCTCTCTCTCTCACACACAAATCTCTCTCTCTCTCTCTCTCTCTCTCTCTCACACACACACACACACACACACACACACATACACACACACACACACTCACTCACACCGCACACAAGGTTAAACATAGGAGAGATATTTTTAAACATTTTTACTATTATGAAATTTATCAAAAGTAAATTTCTGTTTGGGGATTTTTTTTTTCCCCTCCAAATTCAAAGCTAAGTGTAAAACCAGTAACTTAAACCACTTACTTGGCAAGCAGGACTTAGCTAACCACATATGCAGCAGATTATAGGCCAGCAGTTCTGAAAATGCTGAGATGATACAAGTCATCAAATCAGAAGTACTACTTTACTATCGTAAGCCATCTACTTCATTATCAAAACCACAGACTAAATGGGTAAGGAACTAAAAGAGAAAAACGCTGAGTCAGTAATTTCCATCTGATGGAAAATGACCAGGGCTCAGAGAAGCGGGGAAATCTCTGGGGGAAGCAGCAGGGAGATAGGAGGATTCTTACTAGTAACATGTTTTCTAAGAAGACAATTTCCAGAAGTAACTTGCCCTTAGAAGTTTAGAAAACACATTCTATAAACTTTGTTTGTTATAAAAAATGAGCCTAAATCTTTTGGCAGTAGCAAAAATCCAAAAACTACCCTAAGCAAGTTACATTTTAGATCCTGTCTATTCTCAGAATATGCAGCTCACAGACTGATAGCAACACCGAAACTCCAGGAACAACACATCTGGTTTCTCCTGGGAGAACACCTACAGTCTGAGGCGGGAGTTCAGTCAGATTACCAAAGTGATGGCTGAGCTCTGCCGTCTTAGAGTCTGTCCAGCAGTCACAGCCCCTGTAACACTGCAGTGATGTGTATTCCATATGGCCCAACCATGACAGTCAGACACCGGGTGCAAACCTCGGGCTGACGGGTCTACTGAAGAGGAATTTCTCTCCAACCTAGGGACACAGTATTTTCTCACACTGTATTAGTCACTTGTATCTAGTTCAGCCTGAGATAACTATAATCAAAATTTTAAAACTGAGTTCTCAGTGCCATGAACCATGTTTCCAGTGCTAAACTGTTACATGGGACTAGAGGTACTCAATAGTTATATATAGTATGCTATATATACTATATAGAGAATATAGCATAATTTCATTATCAAGGATGTTTTATTGGGTAACCATGTTCTACATAATAATTACATCTGGACAGGTGGGACAGCACTCAATTAGGTAAATGGATCACTTGAACCTAGATTAGTCTCCACAACATTAAATAAACCAACACCACCTTTAAGTGTACACATGTGCATAAGTGTGCAGATATGTGTCAGTATGTGTATATCCAGGTACATGTGAAAGTACACCTGTTTTAATAAATATTTCTAAATCACTTTGCAATTATAAGCAATTAAGGGTCTTTAGCACTTTATTGCTCTTATATTAGTCATCACTTTAGCTTCAGACGCTTGAGTCCTGAGATCTTTCCTGTCTTTTTGTCCCTTAGCTTGGCAGTGGATGGTAGTGTTGGTAACTTCAGGACGATAAAAAGGAAAAGAGTCATTCTATATTCATGAGGCCATCACTTTGCAGATATAACCACAAAGTTAAAGTAAACAAGGCCCAAGTATAAAAAAGAGCACGCATTCACTGTGGTTAATGGAGCTCACTCAATAACATACCCAAGGACCTTGAAATCAGATTAGCCAATGTGTATACTCATGAATTTCAACATGCCTTGAAAATGAAACTGATCACAACTGAAAAAGCATTCTCTTAAATGTTATTGTCTTCCCTGCATTCCTTACATATAGTTACATTTTATATGGTTGATCTACTTTATAACAATCCAGGAAAATTTGAACTTAACTAAATTATTCTATCATAAAAATTACTAAAATGGAATCACTTCTACTTTAAAATGTCCATTATTTTCAGATCAACATAAAATTTTCTAATCATCTTTATAAAAAGATGGAACTCATATACATTTCTATAGTAAACAGTATGACACTGTGAGGTTCTAGGAGGCATTCAATGAATACATTATGCACAGGGAAGAAGAAAGGGGTAACAATGACCAGCTCTACAATTCTTTAATTGAATATTCTGATAACACATAAGTGTAAACACAAGTTTACTCATCTGCAATATGAGAGAAGTAACTACTAATAAGTGCTTAAGTAGTGGAAAGCATTGTTATTTTAAAGGCATTCATTCTGATAGAGACAGCCTCATGGTCTAGAAAACAAGAGACTATTGTTATCATAGGGCATCCTCAAAAGGATATGACATTATATAAACAATAACATACAAAAGTTTTTTTAAAGTATTTTTCCTCTAAAATTACCCAGATAATAAGAGTCTTTTTATCCTACTGTGAGTTCATTTCTCTGGAAAGAAAGTGCAGCCGTCTGTTCCACTCCCTGAATGCCATGTCCCTGGCACTCTGCTGGTTTCATATGGTTTGGCGGCTAGTTCTCTGTTTGCCTTAGCCTAGAAAGAAAAGCCACTCATCTCCTTAAACTTCTGTAGAATAAACCTAGTGGCGCTCTTAAAACCCAAAATATCACATCCAACCCAACTTACCAGGGGAAATTAAACAAACAAAAACAAACCAAAAAAAACCCTACTGGGCTGTGGCTTCACAGAAGAAGAGAGTCCCCTTAAGTGCTAGCTCCTACAACACTTGTCTATCCTGAGCCAGACTGTACACTCTCAATTTCTCTTCTGGAAGTACATACTTGACTAACATGTTTTCCCCTATTATCATTAATAAATTAAATTCATTAAAAATAAAAAAAAACTGATACTAAAAACTTTCTACTTTACTGCAGTTATAGATGATAAGATAAGCAAACAAAGTGAAAATATTCCTAAAAAAAGTTTCCCATAAAATGTACAATGCACAATTTTACTCTGGTAACTTGGTCAGAAACTACACAAGTTTCCAGTAACATTGGTGTATGTAAATAATAATTAGGTCAGAAACATATGAGTAAGTCTTGAGATTCCCACAAGTTTCCTCTGACATATCATCACATCTCAGAATCAAGTCGTGGTTACGGGTAAGAAATGTACCTAGAAGGTACCCTGAGATCTGGGCACCTTGCTAGAATCAACTAAGTCTCACAATGGTGTACGTATCCACACATAGCAGACCTACTTTCCTCGCTGTCAGTCAAAGAGACTACTTTAAAATTAGATATCCTATTCCAGAAATAAAGTCTATATAGAGACCCTGCAATAATTACAAAGGAGAAACAACCCTGTATTTCTCAGTATGACCACAAGACTTCAAGACAAAAAATTAGAAAATGAACAAATTTCTTTAGAAAGGGATTATGTAAATTAAGTGAGGTTAAATTTTTCTTTTTGTTCTTATTCTGTTTATTTCTTAAGAGCGAAAACCTTATTCATCTAATTGGTATTCAAATTATGTATGAATATTTAAATTTTTGCTATCTATCTATCTATATGGGTGTAGTGTTTCTAGCATGTATACAATACATGCATGTGCCTAAGTGAGCCATGAGGACTTAAGTACCCTGGGACTGAGTTAAAGACTGCTGTGAGTTCCCGTCCCATGTGGGTGAGAGGAATCTTACCTAGGTCCTCCAGGCCTTCTGCTATGCTATCTCTCCAGCCGCACATGAGGATTCTTGATAGCTCTCTTTTCTTAACAAAGGCTGGGAAGTCAGCTATTACCATGAAGGAATAAGCAAAAATCAAAGGTGGATTCCAGTAAGCATGCTAAGATCCAAAGTACAGAGCACAGAGTAGCAGCGTGGATTGGTTGTGAATTTTGTTTATTATTTCTCAGACAAAACATCAGTTTGGGGGCTACATAGACCAGGAGTCACATATTGCTTAGTCATCAGCTTACCTTCAGCAAATTCTTTAATCTCTGTTCTCATCTGGGGAACCTCAACCTCATGTTTCTCATCTGGGGAATACAGTTCAGTGGGGGCTAAGTTCAGGTACCAGGAATCTGGTGCATTATGGAACAGCAAAACTCCACATAAAATGGCAATAAAATGAGCATTTTCATAGGCTAAAAGGATTTTGATAAATACTTGGACAGGTGTTTACTTAGATTTAATCATTTTATTTTGAATCCATGTATCCAACACCAGGATATAAGTATGTACAATTATTTATCTTTATAGCCACAAAATATTTTCTTTAAAATGGGGCAAGAAGTGTTTTATTAAGATAAAATAAATTATGCCCATAGGAAGGGCAAAGAAAACACTTGCTATTTAACAAGAAGTAATTCAGTAAAGCCTATTATTAGTGTTGGCATCATCAAAGTTAATAACATCTTATAATTGGTTATTTCTATTAAGTATCTCTTCTAGACAGGTGTTATTAACCCACTAGTGACTCAGATCTAGGCTTCTAAACTAGAAGATGCAGTTACTACGGGCCTTTAAAAATCTGCAGAAATGCTCTCAATTGCTGAGCCATCTCTCCAGCTCCAGGTGTGGATGTTTGATAGTTCTTTATTTTCAGTGAAGGCTCAGCTATTATTATGAGGGGAGAGAAACAGATCTTCTTTGTAACTAACATCCAACAGAAGGACAGCACATTTCCAAAACAGAGTAAGTAAAAGTGAAGGGGAAGCAGAATATCTAAATGTTTGATTAGTCCCACCATTCCAAACTTTCACAGACAAATGTGTAAGATTAACAAAACAATGCAACACTCTTTATGAAAGTCACATAGTAAGAGTCTGTGAAATAGAACAACCATCAAAGCATCACAATTGAAATGCATTAGAATTGCATACTTAGAAGAACAGTCATGCAATAATCCAAGCAACACTTTAAAATGTACAGGAAAAAGTTGTGTCTGACTAAAGCTAGACGAATTTTCCTAATTTTGGTACTTTTAATTGTTTTATAAAGGAAACTTTCTACATAATCTATATACCATTTTGATATCTTTAATTGTAGGAAACATGATACTGTTTAACCAATATGCAGAACTACAATGGCCTTACTGTGGCACATAAGCACACCTGCTCCTAGGAAACATCAGACTTTTAGTGTAAATTCTGCCGTCTGAATAACAGTGAATTCTGACAGGCTCCTTCTCACTAAGAGCTGCATACTCTGCACTGTGGAGGGAAATCTACATTATCCCAGGAACTCATCCAAGAGACAGAACTGCAGGAAACAAAGTTTATTCAATAGAATGATACAAATCTGTCCCACTGCAGCCTACATGAAGCTACCCACATACATTAACTGATGTGCTAACCTTGTCCTGCACCAAATAACTATTTCCACACTCCTGCTGTGAAGCTATTTCCAGTAAGCAAAGCAACAAATATTTGCTTTCCTTTCTCAGCAACCCTCCAATAACCATCCTTTGGCAAGCTTCTCCTTCTCCAGCCAGCAGTGCTCACAAAGCCTTCACTATCAGTTAAAGGGAGACTGTGTTATCAGTCATCAACTGCCTGGTGACTACAAATGCAGACTGCACCTTCTGCTCAAAGGTTTCCTGGGGCCGAATGCTCAGTTACACTATGTCTGTCTTCATAGGGTTTTGAGTGCTGTGAAAAGCCCATAACCAAAAGCAACTGAGGAGGAAAGAGTTTATTTCTTCTTAAAACTCTCAGGAAACACACAGTCCATCACTGAGGAAGTCAGCACAGGAATCCAAGGCAGGAACCTGGAGGCAGAAATGAATACAGAGGCTATGAAGGAGTATTGCTTACTGCCTTTGTTCCTAATGGCCTGCTCTGGGGTGGCCCCACCTACAGTGGGCTGGGACTTCCCCCACACATCAATCTCTACTTAATGAAATGCACTAGAGGCTTGCTCAAAGACCAATCTGGTGGGGGCATTTTCTTCCTATCTTTTTTTTTTTTCTTTTTGAGTTCTTAGAGACAGGGTTTCTCTGTATTGCCTAGGTTGTCCTGAAATCTGTTCAGTGAACAAGGCTGGCCTAGATCTAAGAGATCTGCCTGCCTCTGCCTTCTGAATGCTGGGATTAAAAATGGACACTCCCTCTTCCCCAGTATTTCAGCTGGTGTCAAAGTGACACAAAAACAGCCAGCTGCCTGCATCTTGAATCCTGTACAGAAAGCGGCTGCCTGCATCTTGAACAAAAAGAAGACAAGATGGTCATATACCTTTCGAATATAGAGAATAGACTTCACTTTTATTGTTCTAGAATGTGCATGGTAGTGTGTGTCCATGTTCGTGTGTGTGAGTGTGTGTGAGTGTGTATGTGTTAAAGGTACTTTCGTTTTGTTTTATTTTAGGTCCTGAAGCCAGGACAAAAGCTCTACTACTAAACTATACTGTCACTTGTTACATAAAAGATAAGAATTATTTGGAAGAAGGGCTGACAGGCAGGTCAGTAGTACAGTGTTTGCCTAGCATGTCCAAAGGTCCATGGTCCAATCCCTTGCACCAAAAATAAATAAGAATTATTTAAAGACTTAAAAAGGCAAATATGTATCCTTAGAAATAGAACATTTTTGTTTTCCAGGTAAGATAGTGAACTAGAAGCCTTGTCAGAATGAGCGGGTGATCACTGTTAGGAAACAAAGTGAATAGGAATATTTTCTCTTTGCTTCTCTAGTCCCCAGAATTCATTTGATCAACTCCCCAAGAATATTTCTCTGCTGCCAGACTGAAAACTGTGCTTCACCAAGGGAGCTACTTGTTGCTAGGACTGCAACCAAACACATCAGCCTCACAGGTGCAGAATCTGGCAAACTCAGATATGCAGTTAGTTGCACACTGGACAAAAGAGCTCTTCTGTGAAATCTACCAAGCAGTTCAAGTGTCAATTTTATGGAATGTGTCCACAGTGGCTGCTTCCAGAACCATCATTGTGCCCCAACAAGGATGACAAGACCTGGGGAAGTAAACACACGCTCTGAACAATGCTTTAGACAGCACACAGCTATCCTGGCTGATGGCCCTGCAGGGTCACATCAATCAGCTATCTCAAGCTCACAGTTGTGCCAAGGAGTTCCATATGAAAACCATACACAGAAATAGAGCTGGATTCCAAAAGAGACAAGTATAGGACTGGGAAAAAAATTGCACAGGGTAAAACTCAGACAAGAAAGCAAAAGGAATATGTGTTCTTCTCGTAGCCCATGGAACTTTTTCTAAAGCACATCATGTATGGGACAAAAATAAAGTCTCTACAAATCCATAAAAATTGAAGTAATGTCATGTTGTCATCTGATCACTATGAGATAAGACTAGAAACCTCAGAAAATATACAATCTCATGGAAACTAAACAACAAACTGGAATGATGAATGGTACACTGAAGAATCAAGAAAGAATTTTTTTTTTTAGTTCTTAGAATTAAATAACCTGGCAATGAATCTTAAGTCATTAAAATAACAAAAACAAATCAATCCCAAAAGCAGTAGACAGACAGAAATAATGAAGATACAGTCGGAAATTCATGAAACAGAGATGGCATAAACAATAAAAACCAATGGGTCAGAGCTGGATCTTTGAAAAGATAACACTGACAAAGGCTTGCACAAACCAACCAAAAGAAAGATAGAGAGAAGGCATAAACTAGAAAAAATTAAGAATAAAACAGGAAAAATTAAAAAACACTAAAAAGTTTCAAAAAAATCATGATGACAAACTTTAAAACTTTATATTCACTAAACTGAAAATTTTAAAGGAAATGGGTAGAGATCTATGGAAACTGAACCAAGATGAAGTGAATAATTTAAACAGATTTATACAAGCAGTGAGGTAAAAACAGTAATATAAATCTCCCTACCACACAAAGCCCAGGTCTAGATTAATTCAGTACAGAATTCTACTAGACCTTTGAAAAAGAACTGATGTCAATACTCCAAAATTTATTCCTTAAAATGGAAATGGAGGCACACTTCCAAACCCTTTTACAAAGCCAGTATAACCCAATACCAACACTTCACAAACAATTATAACACAATCTCTCTAATCAACAAAAATGCAAAAATTGTCAACAAAATACTTGTAAAGCAAATTCAAGTACACATCCAAAACACCATGTTAGGGATGTGGGTGTAACTCACATATATAAATCAAGACAGACATAATCATAGCTACCTCATAGACAATGAAAAGATCTTTGATACAATAAAACATCCATTTATAATATAAAAAATATATCCTGGGGAGACTAGGAATACAAGAATCATATCTAATCACAATGATGGTTTTATACAGAAACTAATGACTATCATCATGTATAATTGCAAAAATCAAAGCATTGGCACTAAGATCAGAGACAACCAGACCACTCTATTCACTTCTACTCAATAAACCACATGGATTCCCAGCTACAGAAATAAAATGAGAAGAAAATAAAAGGGATTAGAAGAAGAAGAAGAAGAAGAAGAAGAAGAAGAAGAAGAAGAAGAAG